AAAACCAACCCCCCGCTTTTGGGTTTTTAATTTTGGGTTTTTCTCTAAAAAAATGAAAAAATTTTTTAAAAAAAAAAAAAAAAAAAAAAAAAATATATATATATATAAAATTGTTTTCCAAATCTGTTAAACTGAATTAGATATGTTCAAAAGTAGAGAATAATTTTATTCATTTTACAGTTCCAACATTTTTACTCTCCAATATTCAAAGCTGCATTCCTACAGAATAAGTGGAAAGCAGGTAAGTCTGAGAACAGAAGGGGGCAGTAGAGAGGCACTTTACATCAAGACAATTAAACAACCTCCATGTTCAACCAAGGTTTAGCCACCAACAGTTCACATTAATAAAACATCATTTACTGCGTTTCTGAGCGGCTGTCAGTGCAATGCTGCTGCTGGTGATGATTCACCAAGCGTTTCGTGATACCGGTAACCACCAAGTGCTTCTGTTGAAGTTAGAAACGAGGAAGATGCGACTTTATCAGGGAGATAAATTGCTTTAATTACTTCATGACTAGCAGCGTCCATTAATCGGAGCTGGAACTTTCTGTGTGAGAATGACGGCTGAGGAAAATGGCTTCATCCGTGTGTTTTCCTTCCCCTCTCTCTCTCTCTCTCTGTTTGTTTGAGTGCTAGGGGCTCGCCCTCCTCGCGCTGACCAGGTAACCCTTGGATTTGATGATGCCGCGGCTTTTGACGATGACAGAGTAGCGGAGGACCCACTCCAGCCTCCAGTCGGTGGCGCTCAGGCCCGCCGCTCCTTCCTGCATCGCCTCCTGGAATGTGGCTGTTGACATCAGCTCTAGGAGAAAAACGACATATAAGGCTGACTGCAAATCACAAAGATGAAAGAAAACACTATATTAAACTTGCTTCTAGGGAAGCTCGTTATATGGATGTCAACGTAAAACTGTTTTTCCAGTTCTGGAGAGAAGAGAGTGTTGACACATACATGCACTTTCAGAACAATTGTTGGGTTTTAACCAACTATTGACATCGGTTTTCAAGCAAAATGTCTTCAAATATTCACTTTCCCATGACCAAAAGAATAATAAAGGAAATTTATTCAATTGCCTAAAGTACAATATTAAGACAATGTGGCTTCTGGGGACACATTCCTTTTAAACATGCCTGTTGCCTTCTGGCATCAGGTGTTTTAGAGTTTTATGACAATGCAATAACACAGTCAGAGCTATGAATCACTGAACAAAAATGATGCCTCCAGCAAGTTATTCAAGAAAAAATGTTGATGACAAATCGTTGAAATAACGTAAAAAAAAAATTTAAAAAAAGATTAGATTGTAAATGTACAGATTTAAAAACACAGCTAAATATAATTTCAGCTGTAGTAAGGGAAATTGGTTTGTGCTAAAAGAAATTAAAATGAATTTTAAGATCTTGCAGAAACTTTGTGTTTTATACATGAACTTAAATTATGCATTTTGAAAGCTTCAATATGATTGGTCAGGACAGGAAAGACAATTAGTCATCTAAGGGATGTTCATCTTGCATGAAAGTGAACGTTTGCAACAGATTGTTTCTAAGGGTTTGAATGGGTGTCAATGAAAGTATAAAGTAAGTGAATAAAAATGTAGTTTGAGAGTTTCAGGTGCTCAGATATCGGGGCATAACACTGGACTCTGTTCTCCAACTGGAATGCATGTTTCATTATTATTAGAAACGTGCATTTATTTATTCATCCGAGATAGTTACATTTATGCGTTTGCTCTACTACATAGTGGAGGTTAACTAGTGTAGCTTGTTTTTCCCCCCAACCTGTCCTGCATATTTGGGAAAAGTATGATTAATAGTTTGTTGTAATTTATGATCTACCTGATTATTTTATGTTCCTTGTGTGACATGCACACTGTGAACTTCTGTTGCGAGTTCAGCGCCCGGCTGAAGGGAAAAAAAACAAAACCAGGTTTCACCTTTGGGGTCGCTGTGTGTGAGCAGCTGGATGTCGAACTCTTTGGCGAAGGCGGTCAGATCGGGCGGCATCACGCAGCAGGAGGCCAGGTTCACCTGATTACTGCTGGGCTTCACCTGGTTCAGGACAGGGAAATAAAAAAAAATAAAAAAAGATTGCAACATGTTTTTAGTTTCAGAAACAAATTTATCTTCAAGACTCAAATTGCTAAGAAATTTCATGATTTTATTTTTAAATCTGAAATTTGACTAGTAGGAACTTCTAACAGTCAAGGTTGAAATATGCAAGCCACAAACATCTTGATAAACTACAGACTATAAAACAGAAATGAGATCAAACACTTCCAAAAGAAAAAAAAGTTTACACTTTAAACATAACATGATTTACTTTTGTCATTACTCGATCATTTGAACAATCTCTCTAAACAGTAAAACTTTAATGATTGTAGCTTAGAGTCAGTAACTCCAAACATAAAAGATTTATGAAATTAATCTTATGTACAAACAGTGTGTGCTCATACAATTTATTATTACGCCTCTTTCCAGATGAAAAGTTCAGATGAATCACTATTGACTGTGGAAATATTCACTGCCTCACAGAAACATGTCTACACTTATTGGACCTGGCGTCCATGTTGGGAAACTGTCAGCGATGTGAAAATTATTGCTGGCCAGATCCGGTTCACCTGTAATTGGAGGTCTGAGCTGCTCACGTATCGCTAAAGGCTTCATCACAGGATGTTCATGCTAATCGGAGGCTTTTCTGTTCCATCCAGGTACCATAAATGTTTGCTATGTGCAAAGGCTTTTATCCAACACTGTGGTGATGTAGCCTGGCACGATTTAGTCAAATATTGTGGTTGGCAGCAGAACTAAAAGCTGGCACGATGTATATGAATCATAACATTGGTGATTTTCCACATAAAGTCTAAATAGTTGCCGAGTCTATGGTTTCACACGCCTCATTTAAAACCGTCTTCAACTCAAGTTCCTCTTCTTTCCTAGAGAATACATCACATTTGACCGTGTAGCCTGAAGAATGGCACATGCTGAACTGGTTTACATGCATTTGCTTATGTAAAAAGTGTTTGTGTGCATGGCTGTTTATTCCGGATGCCTCCGAGATGCCCTGTGGTGGACTGGTGAGCTGGAGATTGCGTTAAAGAAAACAACTCCTGCAAGATAAAGTGGATGTAGATGATGGACATGCATTTTTCAGCTCCACGTTGATTGGGGAGTAATGTGCTTTGATCTATGCATGGTTAAAGTTTCCCAGTGGTTTTCTTTTGTGCATGTACAGTTTTCTGGATTAAAACATTCATCGTGTTATTGGCTCAGAAGTTAAAGTCTGGAAATACAAATGTTTCTTTCTTGCCTTTTTTCCATGCAAGAGACAGGGAAATGCTTCAATAAAATGGTAAATTTTTCTAGACTAAACAAGCACTTATCAAAGTCCAGCTATTTGAGTTGCTTAGATTTGGCATTTTAAATTCCTTCTTGTCTCGTCTAAATGATCCAACATTTGTTCTCAAACCAAGAGATAATTCTGTCTGTTAGGCATTTTTAGGACAGGATCAAAAAAAGGAAAATTAACAGCAAGGTGTGAACGCTTTCAGGGTTTCCTTTGTGGATTTTGTGTTGGAGGAGTGTCTCTCTCCACCTTTTCAGCTTTTATTTACCGTTTCTTTCAATCTCTCTAACCATCATGCACTTCCACACCAAGTTCAGTCGTGTCCAACCAGGAGGAGTAATTCTCCTCAAACAGCCCAACCAGGACAAAACCTTTTAGTTGGTGATGACTGAATTTTTGTTGCATTTCAAGTGCAGGACATGAAGCACTTGCTATGATTTACTGGTATTGTTGCAGTAGGAGAGTTACTCCTGCTGCTACTGACACCAAAATTAAATTCTGTGTTTAAAAAAATGCAGATATCTTTGCCTGCTTTGGAGGGGTTTTTTTAAGACATTTTCTCAAATTTTCACAACTCAGAGACAACAGATTCTCAGCTACCTGGGCCCAGTTGTAGAGCTGCTCCAGCAGCTCTTTGTCCAGGTCAGACGTGCCGATGGCGGCGATCTTCTGCTTCCTCACCAGAGACTCCAGCTCCTCCCACGCTGGCTGCAGGTGAGCCAGACTCCGGCCATCACCCTCCACAGGCCCAGGGGGCGCTATGATGACAGAGTCAAGCTGGGAAACTGCCAACGTCTGGCAAGCTAAAGGTGAGAAAAATAAAACTGATTTAAAAATAAATAAATAAAAAAAAAGGCTGTGGCATCATTAATCTCTTATTGAAGCAATATAAAGCTCACCCGTCTCCACGGCATCCCTGATAGCTGACTGACCCGACTCGCAGAGGAAAAGCTTCGCTGCCCAAAAAAAACAAAACAAACATCAGTCAGCAGGTCGTCCTCGATCAACTGCAGCCGTTTCTTCTGCTGAGCTCAGCAGATGAAACTTTGTGCCACAGATATTTTTAGTTTCATTTAGATATATACATGAATTAAAAAATTATGCTTCATGCATGGAGTCTTTATGAAATTGACAACAATGATTCCTGACTAGTGATTTATTAGCATTTGGTTAAAAAAAAGTGGAAAAATGGACATCTTTAGCTTGGATTATATCTTTAGGGGGGACCCTGAATTTTAATGAGTCCGATTATTCCAATACTTCTGTTTCAACAGCAGCTGCGATGCAGCAAAGCAGCACTGACCTGAAATCTTCACCTCCTCCCTTTCTTCAGGTGTGATGGCATCTGTCGCCTCAGGAATGGAGCAGTCCAGTGTGTCTGGAAAACCCTGTTCAACAGGAAATGTCTTATCAAAAACTGCATGTAAACATTTTTAAGTTGTTATTCATACAAAGTATTCAAAAAGTTCTCAAAAGCTTCCTACATGGGGGAGGGGGAAGTATATAGATTTTCTCTTTCTTCTAGACTGGAAAACTTATTATCCAACTAAATTAAAATCCAAAACTTTAATTATATTCACAAACAAAAGCATCTGGCTATTAAAGTAATTATTACATATTATATTGTTAAAATATTACAAAAAACATTGTTTTTTCTGCACTACAGTGAAGCGAAAAGCTAGAACATCAAATTCAATATTCAGTTATTAAGAAATATTAGCATCTGTTTGTGGAATCTTATTTATCTCTGAAAAGAAAGATTTATTTGCAATCAAGTAACAAAGACATTATATATTTTAAACATTGAAAACAAAGACAAACAAATGTGTTTTAATGCACCTTGTTCCCCAACAGCTAGTTGGCTAAATTAGCCCTAGTGAGACATGACCGAACCTCAGTTGTGCCATTCTCAACATTTCCCTACAGGAAAAGAGTCACGCGAGTTTTCCCAGGGTATAAGACCCCTCACCTCACCTCACCGTCCAGACTGCTGGGTGAGATGATAAAAGCTGAGATCAGCTAAACAAGCAGAGCAGGAGGAAGTTCAGCACAGCTCATACTCTGCAGTCTAATGCATCTGGTTTTATTCTTCTCTGAATACAGCCGATTAACAGAATCGCTATACAGTAAAAGTAGCACCGTTTGATGAGAGCCTCCAAACCTCCTGTGATAAAAGATTTCCCCCCCTCGCCTCTTCCTTTCACCCAGCAGACAGACGCCATGTTTGGAAAGGCGCCTTTGGCGGGCAGCGCGGCATGAACATCCACTGTGACAGCTTCTGTTCAGAGAGCCCGCAGGCTTCCTTTGACGGCCATCGCTGCTGTTATTTTACTTTAACCAACACTGCGATCCAAATAGCCGAGGCAGCACATCGTTCAGTTCATGTGATCCATACGACACAATCAATGCAAACAGTTATTTCTAAACAAACAAACAAAAAGGAAAAAAAAAGCCGCCCGCTCACCGTGCTTGTGGGTTTAGCCGTCGACAACCAGTCACTCAGCGTGGCTTGGATGCAGTCTCGAAGCTAAATAAAATTAAACAGAGTTGAAGTTCAAATAGCACTCAGAAAAATATGTGAATCCATTTACAAAGAGAAAACATGAGTAGGATACTCAGACGTCACTGATGTAGCGCAGAAAATGCGTCAGAAAAATGAAACGATGCTCTTAACGATCAAAATATTGACTGCTTCAATAGGAATTGCAACACAATTATAAAATTGCAAAACAAAACTGTTGCTCCGCTCAATAAACTAATTTAGTGTCACTAAATTTGACTTTTAGTGACCATGTATTAAAAAATAAAAAAAGTGCTGACTCATTATTTTGAGCACCACATTCCAACCCTTGATGGTTGTCATTATAAGCCTGGAGAATAACTTATCCCTAAGGTGCGACAGGGACTGTACCTGCTGCGTCATGCTTTGGGGGATAAACTTCAAACAGTAAGACAATGAAGGGAGCTGGAGAAACTTCAGCCAAACCCTCTTTGTAAACAGGCATTACATAAAACCTCAATAAACCTGTCAGCAATGGCTTTACCTGATTAATACAAGGCAATGATGACATCATAAATAGATCGCTTGCAAAAGGTTAAACATATAGCTACTAGTCTCAGCTTTTCATACAATGTAAAATAAAATTTCAAGAAGCCTTTATGAAAAAAAGGAGAAAAAAAAGTAGCATCAAAAAAAAGTGCATTTATTTCAAGATGCGAGACTCATATTGATGCATTAGGCAGCGAAGTGGATTTTAAGGGTTTATATCTGGACATTTATATTGTCATTATTGTTTAAAGCTAGTATTAGCTCAAAATGTGGCTCCTTGGAAATATAGAATATTACATAAAACCATTAAAAATATGTTTAAAACACAGAAATGTTACATTTATTGACTAAAAAAAAAATAAAGAGAATCTCTGCTGACTTGTCAGCTGACCACAGCCTGGTGCATTCAAGAGGTTTGAGAGAAATTCACAGTGAATCCACTGTTGCAAGTGGATTTACAGCTTCAAAAGCCATCCAGGAAATGGGCTGCCACTGACTGACTGCTGATGCTAAGCTACTCCTGAATGAGAAGATGTGCTACCCAGGTTAGCCAGGCAGAGGAGGAAAAAGAACAACATGATTTCTCAGTGGTCCAAATTTCTCTCTTCAGAAAAAAAGGACATTTTCTGTTTAAAACAGAAGTCAAGGTCTCAGAGTCTGGAGGAAGACTGTAAAGGCACAGAAGCCCAGTTGTGGTGATTTAGGGAGTCGTGTTGTTCTGTGCAGGTTCTCACACTCAGCAGCAGTAAAGCAGCTGAGGTGGCTCTTCACTGTGACCCTATAAAAGTTGACCATCGGTCTACGTGGGTGTTGTGCCTTCATCAGATGTATGCAAGATAAAGTTGTTGGGTTTTTTTCCTGCAAGAAAAAGACATCTTTCTCTCTCAGTTACATGCTCTACTTTGGGTCTGTGGGTTTCCTTGTTGTCACGTGCGATTAGACTTACCACTGATGTGTCAGCAAATTATACAATGAAGCTTAATTATTCTCTGAATAATGCAAAGCTGACAGTGCTCAGCACACAGCCTTGAGGAATTCCTGTATTTACAATAAGAGTAAATTTGGCATGCTTGGCACCTGGGTAAAATATTTAGAAACTTATCACTTTGCCGTCTTGACAGGATTCTTTCATCATATTGGATGCGTTATTGGATAACAGAAACTCTCGCTCCTAGCTTGTTGGCCTCACTTGTAAAAACATTCGTGCCAGATAACCATTTATTTGCAGGTGAAATAAGTCACCTGCTTGGTCTGTGTAGCTCAGGGGTCTCATCAAGAGCCACTGTTATGCAGTTTTCAGATGTGCCACAGGTCCAAAACACTGGAATGAAATGGTTTAACTACCTTCTCATTGTGTAGATAAGTTATCCAGAGCCTTGCTAATGACCTAATTATTCTATCTAATTACTACCTAATTACTCTATTCTATTCAGGAGTGGTGCAGCTGAGGCGCATCCAAAAGTTACAGGTCAGTGGCCCTCCAGGACTGAAGTTTGACACCTGTGGTGTAGCTCTACAGTCAAAGTGTGCCTGCAACAATCATTGATCAGATGCTGCAGTCTGTAAACTATTCACTTCAACTTGAGCCATAAACATTCTGATAAAATGTTTCTGTCACAACCTGAACATCTAGAGTTGTACTGAAACAGCTACAAATAGTGCCATCGTTTACCTTAAACCGGCTTCAGTCAGTCTGAAACAGCAGTTTAAATATTTAGTAGCCTAGCCTAACTTGGAAGCTAAGCTAACAGGCTAAGTAATGACTTGGCAAGTTTTTCTGCTGTTCTTCCCTTACCTCCTCGCTGGGAGAACCGGGACACTTCTTCTTCAGCCGGTTCCGGTTCACTAAATTCCCGGTGTGGAGTCGGAGGGTCTTGCCGTGGTTCAGCAGCTCCTTCCCCTCAACGTTAGTGTTGGTGTTTTGAAGATCCATGTGGCTTTCGGTTGCTAAGCTAACGAGTTGCTAAACAGTGTTTTTGCTGCGTCGAAACTTGACAAAACGGTTTCACCGAGTGACTGAATGGCTGACTACAACTCTCATCAGATATAAAGGCAAAAGGTCCTGCTACTGCTGCCAAACTGTTGTGTTCAGGATGACTTGCATTCAGTCACTCACCTGCTGCTGTAGAGCGACATCAGTGGCTGTTATAAAGCTTAGCCGGTCGGTCACGCCCACATGTAGACAAGTATTACAAGGACTGCGCTGCTGCTGTTAAACCACTAGATGGGGCTGTTGTGTTTGTATTCACTTGACAGCGCCACAGTGCTAATGGAGCTAAGGTGAATGTCTCCTGAATTTGATCGAAACAATTGCATTTTTATGGTTATTATCGTACAGACTTTTTTTTTTTTTTTTTGCTTCTTTTAATAGAACTGTATATCGGTGAAGTTTTTATGTGCTTACATGTCTTAAGACAAATATTGATATTCTATTATGGTAATTCCTGCATATTTGCATTATGGTAATATTGATACATTCAATTTAATTCAATTTAATTTGAAGTTGGCACCCCTGCTTGTTACTGGGAGTAGGGTGACTAGATTACTTGCTTTGCGGCTTTTACTTCAGCATAATTATTTTTCCTTCATTAAACAACAAAACAGCTGTTTTTAAATGTAATTCTTTGAAGTCTCTTAAAATTGTTAGTGTCCCTACTACAATGAAACTATTGGTAAATGAACATTGAAAATATTCATACTGCAAAGAACAATAATAATATAATCATCATTAATATTGTGGAAAGAAGAATGAAATTTTATGAGAAAAGCAGTTTCTTAAAAATGTTATGCAGTCAACTTTTCATAATAATTTATTTGTTTCAAATATCTACTTTGAAATAGACATGACATTTCTAAAAATGTGTAACCTTTAAAAATTTTATTTTGTGGATATTTTCTCTTAGCAATTTTTGTCTTTTTGCCTGCTGCTTTCTTTTGTGTTTAAAGAGTTTAGAATTCAGTTTTTCCTCTCATTCCGTGTGTTTGTTTTAACATGTTTTAAATACTTCTTAAATTCTTCAGTTGTTTGTTAAAATAATATTGTAAGCCTTGTAGTCTGGCCATACATTACCATGAAAGAGAGGGCAGCTGTGCTGCGCCGCTTGGTGCTCCTGAACTACTTAGGTTACTAATGAGGGCAAATGGTTGCACTGAATTTTATTTATGAGTGGAAGAGTAAAGAGAATTATGATGCCCACCATATTCTTCTGATTTTTTAAACATGTTACTTTGGAAAACTTCTTTTTCCTTCTTCCTCAATATCATATGCCACTTTATACTGACCTGTCACATGAAATCCAAGCTCAGTACATTGAACAACTGAAGACCAGATGTGAGGAATCGGTATTAACAGTGTTGATTCCTTTTCTTCATAACTTCTGCAGTTTCCTCTGACTCTGAGTAAATATGAACTTTCGACAGAATCCTGACTGGTCTATGTGAGTATTGGGACTCGAGCAGTTTTATTTGCTTCTGTGTGTCTGCTTCTTTTTTTTTTAATTACCCCAAATTTACAAGGATTCCCAGAAATTTCTGTGTTATGAATTTGAGTCACTTCTTTATCACTTTCGCCTTGTGATCAGGATGGGAAGGAGGCAGATCGTCTCAACACAAATGTTGAAAGAATTTGCTCTCAGAGGATTTCTGGGTGCACCTCCTAATCCTTGCCATTGTCCCGTGGTAAAGTTGTGAGTAAGTCTGATCCGATTTATGAGAAACAGCCACACATGGGTTGGATCAAGACACCTCACTTTTTGGCAGGACACATGAGTCATGATAATACTTACCTTTTTTGCCAGATAAGTGATTCTCCAGATGTTCTGAACAATTGTTAGGGGGATTAATTCGTTTATCAGGGGAAACAGCTCTGGATCAGTTTCTTGTCTTATCCGTCATCCTGAACAGTCTCTGTCCTTGATGTTTTTGTTGGACAGAAGGGGTTACATTGGTGCCTTCTTTTATCACAAAGCTGTTGCCCAAATGATTTCACTTCTCATCAACCTGCTGCTGATGTTAAACAAGCTCTGCAACGGTGGCGGCACCATTCTGTAATGAACTTGCAGCTAAGATAATGAAGAAAATCTTTTCCAGGTAATAACAACACACATCTTTTAGAGAATATGAAGGATTTTGAGGGTGAACTGTAATGTGTGTTTTTTTATCTATGTTTTTTTTTTATCAGGTCTGCAATATCTTCAAAAATGTTATATTGCTAAGTAAACTTTTTGAGCCAATGGAGCTCTTTGCAATTACTCTAATACATCAGATCAATCTGCAGGATAAATAAAAAATTACTTTAACTGTCATCTTAAGAAGCTGAAGTTACAACTTTTGCCAAACACAACATTTGTGCCAATGTCAAAACCTTTGGCCATTATTGTGCTCTGAACTTCTGGCCCCAAGCAGTCAAAACAAACAAAGGCCCAAAAAGCTGAGGTTGAGGAAATCCTTTCCTTAAGCACAAGAAGCCACAGAGTTTCCATTGTACTGAAAACATTTAAAAGACCATTGCTTAGGTTCAGCGATGTTAGAAAGTCGAACAGATTCTCAATTCTCAAATTGCTCAAGATATTGCTAAATAATAAGAGCGAACAATGCAGTGTGATCTGGCCCAGTCGTCTTTGCAGAATTGTTTATTAATTTAGCTGAAATGGAGGGATGTAAATGAACTGCTCGAGGTCAATCCACAGCATCTCAAATGTTCAGCTGGATGTGTTTGGCAACTGTGAGGAAAGTCATTAATCAGCAGGAGGTTTGCACCTTGAAACTCTAAAATGGACGCCAGTTTGGAGGCAAATGAGATCTGCGTTGCTTTAGGTGTTCTTCTGCGACCTTTGGTGACCTCTGGGTCTGGCCTAAATCTGCTTTTTGAGACTATTGGCATGTTCCCAATAGCTTCCTTCATTTATGGAGCAGAGAAATAAAAGTCTGAAAGTGGTTTAGTGAAACTGAACCCAAAAGTATCCTGGAGTAAATTTATGATTCACAAGTGGACCAATTATATTTTTTAAATAGGACCAAATTGGCTTGAATAGCTTTTTCCTACAATGAATGAATTTGATCATTCACTTTGCATTTGTATGTGTTGTTTGATGATAAAATCAAGAACAGAACAATTCTACATGGGAGTAATATTTTTTTTTTACTGCTCTGTATGTTTCACAAATGTCTGAAATAGGACAACTTGACATGATTTTGGTGACAGTCCAAATCAAATATAGGTCCTTGACTAATGTTGCAATGAGTAACCGTTCTCCGGCTCCACACTTCAGCTGGTGTGTTAAATCTTTTCTGTTTCCTTGTTCAGCACAACACCTTTTGATTTGTCCATGCTAAGATTCAGGAAAGAAAAAAAAATTAAATCATCATTCCAAAACTATTTACAAAATGAAGAAGCTATGTGTTTAGATACCTGCCACTACCAGGCTGCTCATCGTTTACTTATCAACAAAAAAAGCAAAAAGCTGAAAAAACTGCAGAACAAAAAGGAATTCCAAAATAAACACATTTTAATTGTTTAAAGTGGTTTGTTACTTTGTAAACATGTACCAAATGTGAAATCCTAAACTAACACTAATATTAATAATTTAACCAAAGCCAGTGCGAGTTGTATTTTACTTCAACTTCCTATTTAAGCTTTAAAAAATATATTTATAGAAACAATAAAACGAAAGAACTTGATTAAAATTGTACAATCAAAAACATTAAATGTCCATTAAGCTTTTTTTCACAGTCACGTTTTTGTACATGTATTGCACAACATGTTTTCATATCTGCAGCACATTCATTAGAAAGTAGTGTTAGACTGAGGAAGTGAAAAAAAGACTAGAAAACACTATAAACGCTGCTTTTTATTGCAAAAAGGTTTTATTTGACAAGCAAAATTTTAAGTACACCACTATAAACCATGATCAAGTTAAATCGGTTGCTTTCAAAAGCCTCCAGATCATTAGCGGGTACTGAGTACTGCAACCTGCTTAGAGCGCTGCGGTTCGTTATTGAGCAGAGACCCCAAATCTGATGCCGCTGGAATCCAGCCGAGATATCCAACAGAGACATGTCAGAGTGTCTTCTAATAAAAGGTCTGTTGCAACAACCCCGCATGAGAAGAGAGAAAAAAACGGGGTATTGAGTAAGATTTTACTTTCACTCTCTGTTCTGTCCTCAAATTGCCTTAACAACAAAGTCAAGAGGAACGTCCTTTTCTCAGTCTTATGTAACCACTGGGTCTATCAGAGGGTTTTTTGTTACCAAATCTACCTCAGATGTAGACATGTCAATCACTGGGAACGTTTGGAAAACTGTGAAAAGTAATTCTTATCAAGGCGCCTACAAATTGTTGAGGCCTGGAGTGAAAACTTTCTTTAATGCTGCCTTAAGGAAAGTTAACAGACCACTCACCCATAATGCACCTGGGGTATAAGGCATTACTACAGGCTTCATATGCGGTATGAGTGTAAGCAAAAAATAAAATGTTTAAAAAAAGTAGCAAAAAACAGTTGGATTCTCTGACTTCATTTCTTTATTTTATTGTTTGTTTAGAGGGAGTCTCCTACTCTAGTCTTCAAGAGCATTGTCCTGCAGGTTTTAGATGCATCCCTGCTTCAACAGACACATTAAATTCAGATTGTTGGCAGGAAAGATCTTCTGTAACAGTCTGTAATGCACTGAATCTGAAGAAGCCTCTGACTGAAGATGCCCTGCCTTCGCAAGACGGTATCATGAAGACTGATTACTATCCTCTTGGTTAATTGTTAATTAGTTTCCATATTGGTTTTGTGGGTTTAGTCTAATTTTCTTAACAGTTACTGGTGGGTGATCATCAACTTAGAGGTGTAGACATGGAATAAAACTGCTGCTTAATGGCAGATGCAGACACATGATTTTATTAAATATGATTTGTACATTTACTCAGTAATTCAAATAGATGTTTAAATATGTTGTAACCCTGGAAAACATGGCTAGCTCACTTGAAATAACAAAAAAAAAATTGGGGGAGTGCTTAACAAGCAAGTGAAAGTTGCTTCCTGTTTCTAAATGACAGCATGTTGAAGAGTTGAACACAGTACTGGGCGAAGGGGGTCAACGTTTTTGCAAGAATAAAAACATGGATCCCTTCTGTCTGAGCGCTGACTTTTCTAACTCTGGCTACAAGTAAAAACTTTTCACTCCCACAATAAACGGCGTTCAACTGCAGGAAATCCCTACGGACATGAATAAAAAATAGAAATCCGATGCTCTCTCTCCAATCTGTGAGAAGATATTTCGCAGTCACATGTGAATGTGCAATTTGCGCGACAAAGCTTTAAGCCTTGTAATTCATTACACATGGTGCTGTAAATCCTCCCCATGTGGCAAAGTTTTTGCATAAATATTCAGCAGATTTGACTTGTAGCACATGCACCTCTCCAGAAATACTGAGCTGAAAGGATTTACCATCCCGGCTGAATTTTATGCTTCTGACAACATCGCTTCAAAGAACAATGTTGTGTGGAGGTGATGATAGACAACCATAAGTGCAGGAAGTGAAATAGGCCGTGAAGTTTTGCCTCATATTTCACAACATATTCGCATGGTGAAAATCTAGTTTACAACGCTGTTGACAATATTGACTCTGAGGTTTGTGTTTTTCTATACGACTTGCATGTTTTCACAACTTCACTCTGCTTCCCACATTTGGGCAATCAGGCTAAACGGAAACACATTTTACTGTTTGACTTTGTGAATCAACCAGTTGATTTGAAGGAATTCGTCCTTAACATCCTTAACATCAAACTATATATAATTATGATTTATTTACCTTTACAGCAAACAATCTTCCTCACATATATAAGAATAAGTCAATGAGAATCAACACTAATATATGGACCTAAGCTAGCTAAAGTCTATAAAAAAGAATCAGTAATAAAATAAATCAGTAGCTAAACTTACTATAAATCCAATTAAAATCTATTAAATGATGATTTATTAAATTAAAACAGAAAAACGCAAACTACCATGTTTTCCAGATTGAAAGTTGCTCCAGAATATAAGTTGTATGAGACAAAAAATGCATCATGAAGAGGTAAAAAAGCAAAAGTATTTAGAAATAGTCAAACGTGAGAAGATGTCATTAATTTTGAAGATATGACTAAGTAATATGTTCTGTTCAATGACATGTTTTTCAACAAACTCACAGAAGCTGTCGAAGACAGCAGACAGTTTGCATTTCATGAAGCAGTAGCATACATTCACACAGCAGGTTTTAATGTTTAGTTATGATTTGATTAGGCTTTATGATCCTCATATTCTGATTACTTTGAATTTCACCTGCATTGGAAAAGAGTTTATTTTGACAAGACCTAAAGTCTGGTGAGTCCATCTTCATGTTAAAGTAGAGATATTGTAGGTGAAAGGTCAAATATTGTGTGTGTGTCCGCTAAAGTTACAAAATGACAGACATAACCAAAATAAATTAGCAATGTTTGAGGTCAGACTGAAAAGAACTTGAAAAGGCGAAACTATTGTTCTTTTTTTCCAGACTTGAAGCTAATGACAAACACAGTCCAGAAAACAAAGGAAAAAGGCCAAACTGAGAAACAAAAGAAAGTATGAAGAAGAGGCTGTCAGTCCAATAAACATTTTAGGAGCTGGGTCTGGAGATGTTTTACAAAAATCTCATGAGGGCGTTGAAGAATGTTTCTCAGGTTTCTTTGTTGTTGTTTGTGTTTCGCCCCAAAAATTCTCATAAATGACTGTTCAAGAGTCCGCCAAAGCCGACCACCAAGAGTTTAATCACCAACACCCACACAGCATTTTCTCTCCCCCTAGAGACATTAAAACTTCATCTAAAAGAAATTAACTACGGTTTCATTCAAAATAAAGACAAAATGAAGCAAAAATTCAACCACGAGAGACTCGCATGAAGAGATGCAATTAGGAAGTTTTATTTGGCGTTCGGACCACGGCAGAAGACGTGGGTGGTTTGAAATGCAATTAACTTGGATGAGCAGTTTAGGTATCATCACATCAGTGCTTCTCCATGCCTTCCATTGATGCTGCTTACAAGTTGTAGTTTATATGACAAGCTTAGCAGACGTGCAATTCCACCAGGTGTTTGCTAAATGCTGCTGCCACTAGTCTGGAGGATCTGACTGGGGAAGGACAGGTGGTCTGTGGGGCTGAAGCTGAACTGGGGACTGTCGCTCCAAGGTGCAGCTTTGGGTAAAGAGTAGGAGCAAGTGTTTAGATACCACCTTCAAAGGAAAAGTCTGGGTATGTATTTTGATGACGGAATGACATTATAAGCCTATATAAAGCTCAATGCACAGCACACTTTAAGACAAAATGGTTTCATTTATCTTTAAGTTTTAAGGATGACTTAGCTCGTATTTAAACACTTATCACTAATGCTTCCATGAATTTATTAAAACATTAATGAGTGGAGATGAAGAACAGACTTTAAAGCAGCACGTGCTGCACAGATTTAGTCTTCATTTAGTTTAAAATGCTACTCATATTATGACAAGATTGAGTTTGAGGAAAAACTCCAGAGCTGGGGCAGGCAAGAATCCAAAAGTGGAAAAGAAAAGTGAGCAGCTGAAGGAAAATAAGCATGAAGAACAAAAGCCATGTAGTTCCGCAATACTGCAAAAACACATCCTAAACAAAATAAAATAACCATCAGTGGTACTTGTTTTGATGTTCTGCTGCAGTCTGTTTGAAGAGGCTTGATTGCTGAACAAACTGCAGCTGCTCACACTTGTGTCTTCCTTTGTAATCACTGAAGAGAAGGGAGTACATGTCAGCAATCAGGCAAGAAACAGGAGACATTTAATTCACTGAACTACAGCAGCTCAGTAGAACGCAACAGTTCTGGATGAAGGGATGTTTAATGATGCAAATGTTTCTTTGTTTATATATTTTTTGGAAGATTTCGCTTGTTTCAAATTGAAAATCCTTCATTTGTATATATAAAAAACAATTTTCACAATTTCTACTTTTGACAATTTCTACTTCTGACATGTTCATCTAAATAAATGTTTTAATGAAATGTGCACACAATCTCAGATTTCTAAAAATGTTTTGATTGATTCCATTCGGCAATGACTCCTGTGCAATTCTTTTTTCAGGCTTGGCTTTGGTTTTAGATGAACAAAAACCCGAAACAGCCCACAGCCTCCCACAGAGATACACAGAACAGATGTGGTGTTGGCTGTCTGTGGTCAGCAATCAGACCGTGACCAATGTGATACATTTAGGAGGATGATAAGTATTAATAAATAGCTTGGAGATTTAAAAGAAAACAGACGTGAATCTTCTACACAGTATCCATTGCAATACTCCTGTTGCTGTAACTGTGGTTAAATGATCAGATTTCAGTGCTGCAAGCATTGAACTTATCTGTGGGTTGAACTGTTCAACCTGAAGACAGAAATCTTTTACTGAGAAATGTGTTTTAAAACAAAGTTTTCCAAAGAAGAAATAACTGAATGTATCAAATGAGACTTTAATAGTTAACATTTTTACATTGCACATCTGGAGTTGGAGACATCACAAAGCTCCGATCAACCAATCAGAAGCAGATGGCTGTCGTTTCCACATTACTATTTCCTAAAGTATGTAATCGTTCCGTCTAATAAAAGACAGTTTCACATTCAAGGTTTGTCGTGACAGAAAGTATTAGTATTGTAATTTACTGTTCACAGTGCAGCTTTCAACATTTCTAAATTGTCAAAATAAGATTTCTGATGTAAGTACTTTGTTGAGCATTAGCCGGCGTTCCGACAAAAGATTTGTTTTAATATCAGTTCAGCAAGGTCGTTTATTTCTCATATTTTGGAGAGCCCAGGTGGACTTTTGTCCACACATTGTTTTTCTTAAAAGTTTAAGGGATCATAACTACGTGTTTTGTTTTTATGATAAATATCAGAAGCCTTTGTGTCAGTTTTTTGTTCGATTTGGTTGAAATAATTTTAATTAGGTATCCCTACGTAGGAGAGTTCCTCACTGTTCTGCATTGTCTTCATTTGATAATAATTTCTGTCAATGTGATGCACTGGGGCATCAAAGTTTTACACTTTGACTCTATCCAGATGTCAATAACTTGTTCATGATCTGTCCTGGAACTTCTTTAGATCAGGGCATGATGTTTCACAATTTGAGATCTTTAAGTCTGCTTCTTGTTGTCTGAAGTTTTGTGGCCAACAAAACTGAACCAAAAAAGTTATTATTTACATCATATCAATGTTTCTACTATTTTTTCATAGAGGCAGGTCGATTTATCATTTGGAAACTTTGTTTAAAAGTTTGATATGTAGTGTTATCAAACTTTAGCACTCCATTGTAGATATCCAATTAATACATGTTGGGAAAAAAACAGAGGAAATCAATATTCCAGTTATACGAGAGGGTGGTATTGATATGCATCTCTGTGAGCTGATGTGCTTCATTTTCATGACATGACTCATTTTGTAGGCTCACACTCCGCAAAGATCAAATTGCAGATCTACTCATGGCGTCTACGGAGGAGGTGTGGTAAAGACTGAGCAAGGAGGAAGGCAGACTATAAGAATACTGGCTCAAAGCAAACTGGGTCAGAGAAAAAGTTTTTTCTTTCAAGACATCGTGTGGAGTCCTGAATGTGAGCACGTGAGTTTTTACTCTGCTTCTTCTCTTGATTTTGCAATCTTTGGTTTTGCAAACATGTTTTAAAAGAGACTGAGTTCAATTCTGTGCCACAGATAAGTGGTGCGAGAGAGTTGGAGCAGTACATTTTTCAGATCTTGTTAGATTTCTGTGAGTAAATCTAAGTGTGCTGGAGAAGGAACAGCTGCACACAGCGGGATTCCACACAAATTAAATATACTTAATCAGAGGTCAGAGCATGTTTGGTGCAGGAGGACAGATATGGGGGGCTTGTGTTGGAAATAATTTATCTGTGTATGAAAGGGGAGTTGTTTGATTTGTTGATATTCTCTCTTTCTCCAGCGAACAGCAAGCAGCAACAGCAAGAACAGCAGCAACCATGAAGTTTCAAGTTTTTGCCATCCTTCTGCTTTTCACCTGCATGTACCTGAGTGTGGCGCAAGGTGAGTGGACAATATTAGCTGTAAGTGGGATGCAGTTCTTCTGCATTCAATTTTAAATGTCTTAGTGAGTCAGTGTTAGGCAGATTAGTATTTTTTTTATTTAGACCGTACATGGTTTGTTTTTGCAGAACTTGAAAAAAAAACTTGGCAAAATTAGAGGTTTTGGTGAAACAAAAGTTGAAATCTTCTTGAATTGATCTTCAAACCACATGTCACTGAAGACAAAACCAGAGGGTAAAATAAAAAAAAACAAAACAAACAATTGCTTTTCAAAGCGTGGGCATCATTTTCTTTAAAGGCTTTTAACCGCAGCACGTTAAGGTTGTATCTGTCGGGACTTGTCAAATATGGATCACTTGGCGGTGATGACAGATGTGATTAATGCAGGAGAAAAACTGTTTGCTCCGAATAACTGAAGCACTTGCTTTGCAAAAAGACTTTCTCATGGGGAGTGATGCAGCGAGCCAGTCGTTTAATCCTTTCGTACTTGTCAGAAAACACTTTGAGGTACAAAATTTGTTCAGTCGAGATGAGTTTAATAGGTATTATCAAATCAAACCATTAGACTTCAGATCTCCCTGAAATATTTGAACTATCACCTCTCACAAGTAGCAGACACGCACGACAAAGCTACTAGTTTATTAAAGAAATGGTATTATAAAAAACATTAATAATGTTGCATTAGCTGCAGTGCAAACATTGTTTGGTTCCATTTGCTGAAACATTGATTGATTAATTTGAAAGTCTTAATGCTCACAGAACATAGATGCACAGCAGAGCAGGGCAGTAGAAATAAGCAGACTAAAAGATTTAACGTCTAAGTTTCAATATGCATTCACATTCTGTTAGTTTTTAATTAATTGCCTCTTCTTAAGTTCACGATGGGGATCTTGGGGGAGGAGCCTTCCCGGATGATGTTGGCTCAGAGCCCCAATGTTTTCACAACTCGATGCCAAAAAAGAAAAAAGAGGAAAGAGTTCATAGCGAGACACTTCATGTTTTACCAAAAGATGAAGTAAAATAGTAACGATCCAGTCAGCTGTTAAAAAAGTGGACATGTCTGTAAAAATGCCTCACATTTTGCATCTTTTTTTGTTGCTCGCCCCTTCCAGGCTCCTATGACAACTGCTGCCTTGGCTATATTAAAGTGAATGGAAGAGTTCCTAAGAGGAACATCGAGAGCTACAGGATACAGGAAACAGATGGCGATTGCAACATCAGAGCGATTGTGTGAGTACCAAATGTGTCCTGCTCTCTACTGCCTGATTGGCCTTTGGCTTAGTAGCGTAGTTAGAACTGGCAGCTTCTGGGGGTGTAAATGCAATAACATGTTTAATGAGCAGGTGAACGGGTCCAGCGGCAGATCAAAGCAGTGCAATCTGAAAAGAAAAAGGGTGTAATGGTAGAAGTAACTATAAAACGTTTCGGCTGTGTGCAGGTTTACCATGAAAAAGAGGCGCGATGGCGTAAGGAAAACCCTTTGTGCCAATCCTACGGAGACCTGGGTGCAGCAGCAGATGAGCATTGTCGATAGAAAAACCCTGAAAAAGGTAAGAAAAATAACACAGTCCTGCAGTTTTGTCTTAACGCCTACCAGACAATTTCATCCATTCACCTTTCGTAAAACATTTGTCTTTGCAGAGTTTTTAAAGGAGAAATACCAGAGAGGAGAGAGAAGAGGGGTCACTTCACCTCCCTGTCAGGCGTCGTTTGTCATCTTCGATCACGTGGATTGTGTTTCACTTATTTTTATATTTCCTGTTGCTGAGAGTGAATGTAAAACATGTAAGCAGTCCTTTATACCACAATCATAGTTTATCATGAAAGTTATAGCCAGTATCAATAATTTCATTTATACGAGCCATTGCTGATACTGTCCACTTCTCTATGATGTGTAGAACCTGCTAAAAATGAGCCACTCTTTGGCAGCTTTAAAATGTGAGTAAATCTGTGTAAAAAAAAAAAAAGAAAAGAAAAGAAACACCTTTGTGATAAGCTGATTTTTCTTTTTATATATATATGCATATATATACAGCAAGCTATTTTTGTATCCACAACAAATGTACATTGTTTTTCCTGCAATAAAAAAAAATTGATTAAAAGCAAAAACTGTGCGTTTCTAAAAACAAACAGCACGCATCAAGATGTTCTAAATCAGTTCAGCCCTGACCTGATTTCAAGCCAGTAGTTGATGGAAGTGAAAGCAAGAAGGAAAGCCCAGCTTTCCCCGCAGGGATCTCTTGTTTGTGTTGTTTGGCATCAGCATTAAATGACTGCACGATCTCTCAGCTCAATAAAACCGTCTCTTTACCAAACCCTGTTTCCCAAAGATTGATGGTACGGTTAAAATCGAACCACATTCTGACACGGGTAGTTAAGGGTGACGTGGATGGATTAAAGAATAATGACTTCCAAACTTTTCATGTGTTAAAACCTTGGATGTTTGCAGAAAGTGAAGGTTTCTCATTAAAATATTTTAGCCATATAAGTGATGAGGATTTAGGTGAATATTAGTCATAAAGTATCATTAGCATATTTTGTTAATTCATCAATATTAATGTTAATTCATCACTATTAGCACATTATTTATCATTTAACATGTTGATTTATGATTAGTAAAAACACAATTATTAAAGTTATTTAATGTGTCATAGCTGTTAATGTGTATTTGAAATTAGTTGATGTAGCAATATTTAGCACATAATTTAAGTTGTGGTAGATCTGATTATTATTTTTCTTTTGTAAAGTTTTATTCCAGTGTAGTATTGATGACTTATTTTTAAGCTATATTAATATAAATAAACTGTCTCATAATTTCTCCAACAGCTGTCTTAATGATGTACACTTCCCTTCTTATTGAACATTTTTATGAAAAACTGAAAATAATAAAGTGAGTAAATATTAGATTGAGATTTATTAAGATTCTTTTCTCACTGTTAAAAAAAAAACTAAGCATCTTTCACTGATTGAACAAACCACCAGGCGCAGATAATTAATGTAACCTTGAACTAATTTCTTTACTCGTCACTTGCAATAACTTGATGGTGCAAAAGTAAACATTAAAACAAAAAATTGAGGTAAAAGAATATTTCAAAGTTATTTCTAGTTCTACAGGGTGTGTTTGTGTGCTACACATCAATCAGGATTAAATAAATAAATAGTCCATATAGGGTTAGGTTAAGATATTAAGAAAATTTTTATTTATATTTAATAAAATATTACCCTCTGTGCTTCACTATATTGCGTTTGTGTAAGAAAGGGAAGTAGCTAGATTAAAAGAATGTTGTTGAGATAAGTTAACCTAAAAGCATAATAATTAACACAGGTAAGAAGAAAAGTGTTTCTATAAATGTCACCCATGTGACATATGATGTACTGAAGCAGAATATTTTAAAAGTATTGGGATTAACAAATCCCGATGTATTTGCTTTAAGAAATCCCATCCACCCATCGCCACATCTGAAATATTATTATGTCAATACTTCTGTCAGATGGATTCAGTTCAAAGTAAAAAGTATGTTTTTATTCCCCTTTATCCTGGTGAAAATAAAAACTTCTTCCACATGTCGAGTCAGATCTTTTTTAATATTCCGAGGGATTAGCTGTTCCCTCTCGGCTGGAGAAAACGTTCCAGCTTCTTGTTCTAAATAAACTGTTTAAAATCCCTCTAGTGTGGCTGGAAAACTCAGTGTCACAAAACAGATCTCATGATAAGCACCATTTTTGACACTTTCTCATGATCTACGCTTGATAACACTTTTTCCTCTTTACTTTTAAACAAAATGTCTGCAAATCCAAACATTTGCTCAATTTTCAAGTGTCCACAGAGCTTTTAGAGTTTCAATCCGAAAAACTAGATAAAAAAAAAAAAAAAATATCTAAGATAGTCTTCTGGGACATCATCTTGTTATTTTTGTCCGTTTAGGATCCGACCTTTGGGGAAAGTTTTGAGTACGTTTCAAGCCTCGAATAAGATGCCAGTCATCAGATTCTGATGGACATGTTGCGAACTGCCTTCAGACGTCATTAACACCGTGGACTACGGGCTGAGCTTTGCACTGTGTAAACAGCAATGTTATTTCAGGTGCCGTACCCTAATTAGGTTTTGTTGAACAAAAAGCTGAAATGCATTGTGGACTCTGGGTGCCTACATTGCTCAATAAAACTAATTGAACATAAAAATGTTATCTTGTTGTTTACTTTTTAACCGGCGTCACATTTGCGCTAAGAAGATTTATCTACTACTTAATCAAAACATTATTAACAGGAAATGTGAAAATAACACCCTTTTATAGATAAATGTCTTTGTTTTGTCTTTTTGAATCTATTACCCTGACTCATCGCTAAGTGATTTTTCCAGAAGAGGAAACCAACTCCTTCACATACTAAGTTTATTGTAGTTAGTCTTTACCTCTTTCAGATCATCTTAGTTTACGTAATCAAATTTTTGTTTAGGTTAACTTTTCTCATCTGAGATTAGTTTCAGTATAATTTATTTTAATTTCTGAGCTTAACTAACTTAAGCTGATCCTATCTTGCTTCAGTTTATCTCAGGTTAACATACAAAACTTCACGTTAAATCAACTTAGCTTTGATTTTTTTCTGACCTCCTCCTACATTAATGTTCTCAGTTTAGTTAAGCTTGTCTGAGCTACAGTTGGAACCAGATATTTACATACACTAAGTTAAATCAGATTAAGCTTCTCTAGGTCAGCCATAATTACCAAGATTATTTCTAGAAAACTTTTTGAAAAAATTCATAAGGCCAGTATCAGAGATAATTGTCTTTTTTGTGTGACTCAAATCAAACCTTTTTGATTAATAAAATCTCTGACAGATTAAAAGACACATCTGAGTTAATCGGAGGAACATCTGTGGCTGTATTTCAAGACGATGCCTGAAACATGCTACTTATTTTGTTGACATTATTGTAAAATAAAAACAAATCAGCCAAGATATCATGAAGAGAAACTGAAGTGGAACTGTTCAGTCACAATGACCATTGTTACATTTTTAGAAAGATGCTTGTACCATCCTAACCATCAAGTATGGCGGTGGCAGCATTATGTTGTGTGGCTCTTTTGTTGCAGTACGGATTAGTGCACCTCATAAAATAGATGCCATCATGAGGAAAGAACATTATCTGGAAATATTGAAGCAACATTTAAAGACACCAACCAGAAAGTTCAAGCTTGGGCACAAATTAATCATCCAAATGGACAATAACCCCAACCATCCAGCCAAAGTGGATGCTTGAGGACAACAAAACCAAATGCTTTGTCACGGCTGTCACAAATCTGTGGTCTCAAACTAATGGAGAAGTTGTGTGTAAATCTGACAAAGTGTGTGTGAGTGAGACGGCCTTCAAAATGGATTATGCTGATTCTGTCAGGAGGAATGAGGCAGAAGTCCAGAAAACCGATGGAAAGAAATTCAAAAGGTTTGATCCAAGTCATAACGTTTAAAAGACATTTAATGCTGATACTGACCAAATGTATGTAAACTTTTGACTTTCAATTTTTAGAAAGTTACAAAACAAAATCTCTAAGAAATGTTCTTCCTAAGTTTTCTGGTATTTAACAAATAAATAGATTTGGTAATTCTAACTAACCCAAAACAGGAGAAGCTTGATTTGATTTAACTTCAAACAATGGAAAACTGCATTTATTCTGTGTATTTAAATATCTGGGTAAATCTGAGCTTACTTTAGTTGAGCTGCTCTTGCTTTGACTGGCTTTAATTTTGCTTGATTTAGCTTGTCTAAATTTAATTTGATCAACTCTAGTTTATTTAAATTCAATTTAGTTTAATTTAGACTAACTTAACTTTATTTATTTAGTTTAGGGAATCTTGGTTTGGTTTAGATCAGTTTAATTTAGTTTGTTAGCAAGATAAAGCATACAACACACACAATGAAAAGACAAAAATCTTGTAGGGAGAAATACAGGAACTTAAGATGTAAGAATTAGTAATAAATAAAAATCAACACTCCTTCATAAAATCAGCTGCAATGCATGAAATGCCTTTTATAGCAATTATATAACAACGATTTTGGGCAAAGAAAACCTGGCATCATAAATTAGTTAGTGCAGTGTTTTTAGTTTGTGCAAACTATTAGATAAAGTTGACCTCTTGAAAAATACTTGAAACGTTGACCGATATAACTATGAATGTATTTTCAGCAATATATGATCAGTCATGAAAAAACATCAGTTCTTGTGAAGAAACAAAGAGTTCAGCAAACACCGTTAGAGCCGTGTGTTTTAAATCACTTGTATTTGTCAGGCTGAAATTCCAACAAATATGTTGACCGTGAGTGTTAGCTTATACCACTTCCTCTCTTAATGAGTCACTTGGTTCAGATAGGGTTACATACTTTAGTGAAAGCGTAATGAGAATGAAAAGACAAACAAATTCAAGTCGGAACAGATATTGATGAAGAATTGAGAAATGGACCCTGAAGCGGAAGTGATCCCAAAGATTATAAAGAACTTACCAGAATTGTCTTTTTGGCTCAGATCATCAGTGTGAAAAAATAAATCATCAAAACTCCGATAATACTAAAATTGTAATAAGAAGCAGCTTTTGCCTGAGGCAAAAACGTTATGGTTCTATATATAATATAAATATAAATATTCATTTATATTGGATGTTAGCTTAAAAACTGATGTGTAATTGTTTCTGAATGCAATCAATATTTGACAGAAATGTAATTGCTTAACTTAATTGCTACATTTAGATTTTTTTGTTCCTTGATATTTCAGAGGACAGGAAATATAACTTACAGCCTCCCCCTATAATATGAATGACAGAAAGCAAACGGCATTCATCTGAACTGTGAGCCAGGCCCTTCTAATCAACCGAGCCCTTGAGCAACTTGGCAGATGTCAGAAAATCATCTACACACGGGATCAGTGTCACCGACAGAACCGAAACTCACAACAGCAATGCAGATGATACCTGCCTGACAAAGTGACGCAATTCTGGCTGAAAATAGCACAAGCAGCTCACGGGTCCACCAGCAGCCTGGACTTGAAATAAATGGTGAAACTGCCTCATTCACATGCAGTCCAGCTGTACAGAGCTCTGCTGATGAGATAATGTTGGAGCCAGATGTGCCGAAGCAGAGGGGCACCTGAAAGTTGCATGACACCGGTCCTTGAGGAAACCAGTTTGAGACAACTGATGTAAACACTGATCTGGACACTGATTAGCTGACCAGAGCAGAGTTGTTTTAATGGGTTCACCCCTCAATCACTGATGCAAATGGCACTCATGCAGCCAGTCACTCACATCTTGTCACTCCTGCAGTGGGCAAATACCCCGACACTCTATTTCTAGCTTTGATTGATTCAGTTTTCTAGAAATAGCTTTTTGGTCAAAAGATCCGTCTCCGGGGCTGCTGTAATTGAGTTTTAGCCAAGACATAAACCGCTTTTCAGCACTCTTCAAACTCAGGTATGTAGTCCAGCACATTTCTATCGGGCTCCTCTGGCAGAAAATTCCCTTTGACCAACTTTAAGGGACTACTCACTTAAAGTCCATAGACCAGCTCAAATGGACCAGAAATGTAATACTCTGGTCCTGATCTGCTCAGTAAGCTCTGATAACAGACTTAAAAACTCTGATGGTATTGCTCCAGTGGCCCCTGCGATTGAATGGTTGACAGATAACTTGAAATGATTGACCCCCAACTTCTTCATCACTGTCTGAAAGACCCCAGCCTTAAAGCTGGAGCCCTGATCCAAACTCAAACTAAGTGAAAAACTTAACAAAGCAATCTGAAACTGTTTTTGAGCAAACGTTAATCAAACAACTAAAGCTGTTAACAGATATTGATTAGTTGCTGGTTAGGGCAGCACACAGTCTATTAACACATGACTGAATGGTTCTCCAACTTAAATTGTATTAAAAGGAGCAGGCTGAATGCTTTGTTTGGACTTTCCACCCATCTGACATTCATGGCGCCTCTTACAAAATGCCATAAGGTCCTACCGGAAATGCCACATAATCCTGGCGTTGGTCTTATTAATGCCCAAGAGGCCTGAAGTAGGAATTTCATGAGCTAATCTCATAATCTCTTCCCTATAGCAGAAGGGAAGTGCAATCTGATGATACACTCTCCATTCTTCAGCAGCAGGACGTCGATGGCTCCTCAGATCTCTCAACACATAAAAGCCTCATGTTCCTCCTGCCATAACTTTCAAAGTATCAGCACTAGACAATGCATCAGTAGCTCTGCTCCCTAACCAATCCTCCTTACTGAACTTCTGTTTTAACATGAATCAGTTTTGGCTCTTCCGGATCTCAGGGACGGGACAGGGACGAGTATCGACACTAGTAGGATAAACCCCCTTAAATCCTCTTCTCTGAAGAAAGTTTGGGAGAATCTGCAACCAGAGATGCAACATTTTCACCTCATAAAGAGCCCTGTAAAGTACATGTCCCCTTTCAGATTCCTTTTTATATCCTTCCATACTTAAATGATTCACCACCAGAAAAAAAAGGAAATCGGACCTGCTTTATAACATGAAGTAGGCAAGAAAAGCTTAAAAAAATCATCATGCTCCAGCTAAAGAAATTCAAGAAAGGGTGAAAAACAAAATCATCTATTTCTATTATCAGAATGCAAACAGTTATAAAGTCATTTTTAAGGTTTAACCTAAGATGAACAGACTCAACTAAGGACAACGATCCAAAAGCACAGCATGTGCAAAATGTCTCAGAAAAACTAAATGAAAGTTTATGGAGTGGCCAAGTCAAAGTCTGGATTTAAATCTGATTGAAATGCAGCGGTTTGATCTCAGACGGGCCTCAGAATTAAACTACTTCTGCAAAGAGTCGTGGGCCAAAATTCCTCACCAGTGATGTTAAAGATTTATTGCCAATTATCATAAAAACTTGATGGCAGCTGTTGCTGCCCAGGCTGGCACCACCGTTAAGGAAGTTTCAGAGGGCAATTACTTTTTCACATTAAGCCATTTTATTTCCCTGAAAGAAAATAAAGCTGCATTTTCTCAGGGTATTTTCTTTTTCAAATTTGTTCGATGTAAAACATGTATGTGAAACCAAAAACAGAAAACACCAGAAAGGGGGCAAATCTTTTCTGCGCTGCACTTTTGGTACGATCGTAACGTTGACCTACTTCGGTGGCCTATTGAGGAAAATAAAAATAAAAGAAGCAACCGAAATCCTCTTCAAACATCAGATATGAAGGCTTTATGTTATTATTGTGTTTAGCTAAGCTTAGGATTTTACAAAGGCCTTTCTACCCAGCAGGCCATTTTAAGTAATCTCGTTCTCAAGGACATGATTGACCTGATTTTAGAGGGTTGGGCAAGTTCATCTATCCTTTTTGTCTCCCACAGTCCCGTTGGATTCTTGCTTTGAGCAACTTGTCCTTATAAGGGAAAGTGAACAGTATTTCACAATCACATCAGCCGTGTTTTGTTTTATGATCCGAGCACATTAATCAGTCATCAAAAACTTAAGGATGGTCCGTTTCTGCCAAATGCAGTTATAGCCAAAAACAAGCTTTCTTATTGAGTTTACATTCTGGCACAACTTTATAATTCAAAAAGTGAAAGGACAGAAAGGGCAAAGAGTTGTTTATGAAAGAAAATCAGAGGAGTTTAAGTTTTCAGTGTCCCATTTTATTTTCAGTCATGCATTAGTTGACATGATCAAAGAGATTTACATTTTCTTGTAGGTAGTTTATATAAGTATATCCCTCAAACTTGTAGTCAAGCTAACTGATATAATTTTCTTACTAGTTAAATTATCTAGACATAAAGCTCTGAAATTATTACTTCCTTTGTCTTGTACTCTTTTGTTTTTTTTTGCAAAGCAAGGCTGAAGATGGATGCGGATATGTCTAAAGTCTGCTTTTCAGTGACACCACATGAAATCATAACATCCTGGCTAAGAATGACTGTGCAGACAGCGCTGCAGATAAAATTTTTCTGAAGTCGAAACAACATTGAGCAAGAACGGGTTTTTCTAAATAGACAGCTATTCAAACACATCTTGGCACTTAAACGGACTGTGATAATATCTCAGTATTGGCTCCTACCATTGAGATGTTTACATGTTCATGTGTGAACAGGCAGCAGGCTGAAGGATTAACACACCGTTGCGAAATCCGAAGTCGCTACATCTGGCTCTGTGACAGAACAGGTGCCTGCGGACCCTGTCAGAACTGGCAGTAAACTGGGGGCTGATGAACATGGGAGGGAGTCACGCTTGGGTTAAATCCCCGAAGGCAAATCCCAAATGTGAGGTGCAAGAGATGTGAAGGAAAGAACATTGGTTTTGAAATCTAGAGATAAAATTTGGGAGAAAATAGGACGAAGAATGCATAAAAGTTTCCTGTTTCGGTGTTCAGTCCAAAGTTCCCCAGAACTCTCTCCACAAGTATCGAGTTTTTATTAGCAAAAACTGAATCATTTTACATCCTAGAGCGAACCGCTTTGATGAATGCACCTCACTTCTGTCATGATTATAATCACGTGGATACATGTGGCATTGAATGCAATCCAGTTTTCAAAGAGCATTCATCAATTTTTACCTAAAACAAAAAACAAATGGGGAAAAAAATGTATGAAACAGACAATCAAAGAAGAACGTATGTGTCCCAGATGCATCTGTAGCTGTGAGGAAGGTTCTGTATTTACTGCCATGCATGCACAGGCACTAAACTGAATCCATGAATTATCGACTCATATGATCTGCCTTATTTCCTGGATGTGTTTTTAACATCCGGCTTTCATTTATTTGGAAAACAGCATGTTGTCTGTGTCTCCCCTATATTAACATTACCTGTGGCCTTGCATTGCTCTGGGGGTTTATGTCCTGACTAAGAGGGATTGGAAGATGCTGATAGCCTTTCAGAGATAATGTTCTGCGTCAGTAAGCTTGTTTAATCAGAACAGAAAGCTACAGCTTATCACTTGGGAGACCTCATCCTCCATGCATTGGTCAATTTGATCCACATGTGACAAAACCCTTATATGTTTATATGGATTTTTTATTTATTTATTTATTTATTTATTTTGAAAAATAGCATTTGTTCCTTCACAGTGGGCCCCTTTCTATCTGTGGATTCACCAATTGGAGAATTTTCTGAGGAACGTAACTGCAAAGTATTTGCAGCTAAGTATTAGCAACAGTCTATTTGCAGTTTTGATTTTGTAGAGCACATCTATAATATTCAAAACAAAATGAAGCATTGAAATATAGCGTATTTAATAAATATTTGATGCATTGTTGGTTGTTATCCAGGAGCATCATTTGATTGACTGTACCCACGAGAGGGGAAATAAGAAAGACAGTAGATATTAGTTTCTGCTTAAGTGCTACAATAGTTTCCACTGTGGGTTAATGTACATTATGGTGTATCTGATATGTGTCAACTATTGAAATAGGTAGTTTTAGCATTTTTAGAGGGAGTCTCAAGTATTCACTGATTTTAGCTATTTATAGGCAGCTGTGGTTCCTAACTCACAGGAATACTAAGCCACTGTACTTCCCATTAAAAACATCAACTATATTCATTTAAATTTAAAAGAAGACCCTAAGCACAGAAAAGCAGTGCTAAAATGCAGATTCTCCAATAACAACTGCAGCTTGTTTTTTGTTTTTTTTGACACAGTTTGCTTTTTATTCTCAGTCAATAACTTCTTCAGTTCAGTTTGAGGGTAACAGAATCAGAAAAAAAGATGTATAAAATGCTCTATTGTTGTTGTGGCTAATAGCACAAAAAGCCAGAGTAGGCATGTGCAAAGTGGGCCTCTATTACGCCACTGAAAACTGACCTCCATGTTGAAAACAGATCACACAAATCTCAGACACAGAGGAAAAGAAAATCTCCGGTTTGCAGGTAATCCAGGTTAGTGTGGACAAGGCCTGAACGAGCATCCATCACCAGGCCCACTACTGTTGATTTGTATTACAGTATCACACAGACAGCAGAGGGAACATGTTTGGTAACAGATGCTTCCGACCATTTGCTAGGACTCCTGTACTCATCAGGGTGATGCGCCGAGTATCCCACGGCCTCCACGAGCCTCCTCTTCTGAGACCGATGCAGGAGGATCCTGTAGGTCCCCGTCAGCGGGCTTCTACAGTCTGAACATGGATTGTTTTCCAGATGAACCTTCGAAATGCCTAAACCTGAGAGGAAATTCTTTACCTCCTGCTCCTCCATACTCAGAGTCAGATTGGCCTGAGCGAAGTGGGCTGGAGATGTGGGTAAAGAGACATATGGACGAGGGTACTCTATTCCCTTCAGCCAGCTGCTGTTTGTAATGTCTGTGAGGGAGGAGCGGTCCACAGGCACAATCCGCAGCATGCCCTTAATGAGCAGCTGGCACGGATCAGGTACGAATGAAGGAATGCTGTAAGACCCCTGCAGGATGCAGCGCTTCAGCCTCCCAAGGTTGTCTCCATAGAAGGGTAAAGTTGCTGTCACCATGAAGTACAAGAGAATACCAAGAGCCCAGATGTCCGAATAGCGTCCGAGGTAGCCTTTCTGCTTGAAGAGTTCAGGCGCAGCGTAAGGTGGGGAGCCACAGAAACTGGTGAGTAGCTCATTAGGGCCACATTCTGTACTGAAACCAAAGTCCCCAACCTTGATGCAATAGCTGGTGGTGTAGAAGATGTTCTCGGCTTTAAGATCCCGGTGCACGATGTTGTTGTCATGCTGAAAAATCACAAAAGACAAACATTTTAAGTACAAAGAAATAAATCTCACTAGACTCAGCTAATAAAAAAAAGAGAACGTTGCAAAGCTGAGGGTTATCTGAGCCTTGAGAGGCTAAAGCAGAGGCCTTTATACAACACCGTAACTCAACATGGTAGTGCAACAGAACCTCTATTTGCCATATTATGTTACCAAATCAAAACAAAACAAAAAAACCTGAAACCTTTGGAGTCATTGGCACTTTTTCCTCTGAAGCACATGAACAGAAATGTTGCTTGAAGCCTGGGAAAGTTGGATTCTCCTAAACCCAACAGCTGCTACAAAAATGCTTCTCTATATTTCAAACGATTTCTAACTAACATATGCCACACACCCAATAATCTTCCTTGGTTAACTTGTTACTAGAGTGTTTGAAATAACAAAAGAAATGCATTCTCAGCTTCTTCTTTTTTTTTGCTAGGAATATTTATGGTGGATCAGTCGGAGGAATCTTTAGCTAGTAAATAACAGGACATGAGTTTGATTCCAGCCTCTTCACTGCATGTCTAAGTATCCTCAGGCAAGGCACTAAATCGTCAGCTGACAAGCACGAATGTTTAGTGGTTGGGAGTGCAGCTGGGTGAATGATGCTGGTACTGTTAAAGTGCTTTAGGTAGTTCTTAATGGGCTCAGCACATATACCACTTTACAAGTAATTGCATTTGGCATCACATGTAATCCCAGCGGTTTTTACATGTGCTTCACATCATCAAAAAGGCTTCAAATTCCACGTGTTTCACATATGTTGGTAAATGTGACATGTGAAATGTGGTAAGCCACACTGACATTTGACCACCTGTGATGAGATGTGACTTTGGACGTTTTGTCTCAAAGGGGGAAAATTACCCAACACTATATAACAGAACTTTATTGTCAAAACATGTCTGAGATTTGTCTTGCACAACAGCGCGGTTTTATGGACAAACTTACACAACCTAAAGTACAGAGAAGAGCAAACGATGCTGCTCTAAGCTGGTAAATGCTCCCTCTTTAGTTTCATTGATTTTCCATTCATAACCTTATTAAACTGGGGAATCTGTAACTACCTGATTATAGCAGCCTGTAGTCATGATTTAGAGAAGGTCAGAGGTCAGGTTCTGGCATAATTTCACCATTATCTCTACGGTAGGAAGATTCATAAGGTTTTTCAACTGGTTGGCAGTCATCTATTATTATATCTTCATTTTTTGTGCTGCTTAAGATGCAACATTTTTAGAAGAGAATAATATCATCCCACTGTGTAGAATTAGGCATCTGTTTAGAGACAAATACTGGGAACTTTCCAGACTCCAACTAACTGAGGTTAGCCTTCAATTTTCCATCCTAGGGAATGCAAAAAAAAAATATGACTTATTTATTTATAGAAAATGAATATTTATACAAAGAGAGAAATAGCCAGTGCCTCCCTGGAGGAAGTTTTGGACCCATCAGTCATCAGTTTGTATTCACCAGGGGGATATTTTAAGCCTTTTTGACCTCAATAAATTATATCTACCAGCAGGAGTTTACTAAGTTATTTTGCTTTGATGACAGGCCAACGTCTATCATATTTCATCAGAGCTGACTGGTCCAAATGAGGGTCAGAACCAAGCATAGTCCAGCAACATGATTCACATATAAATTCATCTGCTTTGTAAAATCCCCCATGGAACTGTGATCTTCTTTTAGCTGCTCTAAAGTTCTGAAATTTCTGTTGTTTTAGAGGAAAAATCTTAAAAATAAAACACTTCCTTATATTAATTTTATGTGATATACACAACTTCTCTTCTTGGCGTAAAATCTGTTAAAATAAGTTTGAAGGGAAAATGATTTTCCCTAATCAGAGAGCCTTCACTACATATTTTAAAGAAAGGAATGAGATTTATAAAACAGTAATGTTATTGTTTTCTTAAAATCACATGCTTAATACGTCATCAGAAACTGAATGGTTACAATGGAACCAGTTACCTAAAGGATACATAATTGACATATTAGCAACTGAATTAACATAGGAGAAACACAAAATTGATTATCAAAAAGTATCATCAGCTTTTTGTATACAATTGTGAGATCTAAAGACCTGTCCTAACTTTCAAGGAAAGGTTTGGAGAGGAAAAATGAGAATTTAAATGGAAGAAGGCCTTTAAGGGATGGCAGGTTTCAATGCCAGAAACCTCAGAAAACCTGACAAGACGTGTTTTAATCCTGCTACGTCTGTTTGACCCGAACTCGAGGTTGTCTCTCCAGGGAGGCTTCGGCTGATTTTACCTGCCTGCTATGTTGGATGTTCAGCGGCTCACAAACAGTGATTGTTGGATTAGCTAGGTTTTGTCTTCAACACTGGGGTATAAAAGGCAATAAAAGTTGCTTTAAATTTAGAGTAAAGACTACAGGGTAAAGTGAACAAAATGTTAATTTTGCTACTTAATTGCAAATTCTTTTGATTCTGTGACTATCTAAGCCTTAAGAAGTTGCTTCTGCTTTCTCAAACTACTGTTTTTGTTTATGTTTAGAGACCAAAACCCTGTGTAATATATACCTGGCTAGAGCCGAGTCCTCCTGTTGAGGCATAAAGAAAAAGAGGCCATTCATTTCAAAACCTTACTGAGTCTTAAACTAGCAGAAACCTTTCGGCACATATTTAAATAAACTGTCGATAATCATAAAAAAAAAAAATAAATAAAAAATAAAAAAAATGTCTCAGATAATCTGCAGAATGATACATAATTTATGCTCAGTTCATTCATTGGCCCGTTGGACCAGCCTTGGTGGCTGTAACTGGGTCATGCCACAACACGTACCAACTCTGACGATCTCAGGGTACGAAGAAGTCATAAATCGTTACTATTTCTCCAAACTGTGATTGCACTGAGTGCTGCTGGTAGAACACCAAGAGCTCTTAAGCACGTCAAACAGCATCCACAAAGCAAACTATCACTTTTATACTTCAGTCGTATGCCAAAAAATGTGGTGTTTGTTTCGTCTTGTCATGTTTTCCTGCAGGCAATCTAGCCAGTACAATTTCAACATAGAAGGTTTGCAGTCTGTTGTTTGAGGCTAAACCAATGAAAATCACTGCATTAAATCCAGGTCTCTCAGAAAATATTGAGCGGCTTCCTTAATCCTATTTTTTAATGGTTTTGATTAAGAATGTTTGTAGAGTGTTTAAGCAAAACTCTTAGATTACATTTCCCAGAGCTATTAATCTTGGCAAGTTGGTTGAAACACTCTAGGTTTGGTTTGTCTGCAGCTTGTAACTTTTATTGCTATTTTAAACTACCTCTGTCTCCACATATTTATTTCTTGAAATTAAAATAATAATAATAATAAAAAGAAACTTCTGTTCTGCAGGTGAAAACAAGAAAAACAACAATCAAGTGTTTAAAATAATTAAAATTATTTTCTCATAACTTAGTTAATGAGTAATGGGTAGCAACAATCCATGCCACATGTGGCTCAGAGTCAGGCCAGGTAGTAAATGATGATTAACAGTGATACTAAGGCTCACCATGTGTTTCACAGCGGAGACGATCTGTGCAAACACCAGCTTCGTTTCCAGGTCGTTCAGCTTCCCCCTGGTGGTGATTCTGGAGAACAGGTCCCCACCGCTGCCGTACTCCATCACCAGATACAGCCTTCTGGTGGTCTCTATCACCTCATAAAGGCGCACTACATTGGGATGGCTCAGCTTCTCCATGCAGCTGATCTCACAGGAGGCCAAAGGCTGGCTCTTCTTGTCTTGACGCAACTTGTCAACAATTTTAACAGCAACTCTCTCTGCAACAGGAGATGAGAGGCAGGAGTGGATTTGTGTTAAAAAAAACAACAACAAAAAAAACTTCCATTTGAGAGGAAAACACTTACTTTGGGACATTATTTCACTGAGGGTTTTTATGCTAAATCTACTAAAATAGGTTTATATAGTGAGACAATATAAACATTCATACAAAAAACAAATATAAGGACTTCATGTTTTAATCTAATCACATAAAAACCACTTGAAAGATGCTGAGTTATACTAGAAAAAGCTACCAGCATTTTACAACTTGGGCAATTAAAAAACACAAACAATTATTCAAACCTTTAGTCAAGGCATGGATGCCCAGCTTCACTGTCGAGAAGTTTCCCTGGCCGACCTCACCACGGAGCTCGTAAAACCCAACCCGCCGACCGAGCATCAGGTCCCTGACTATCCTCTCGTTGTGCGCCATGTCATAGATGACCTTTTCGATGGGAGTCTGCTTGACTCTTTCTGCCTCGGTGAGCTGTGGGATGATACTGGTGGCAGCAGAAGCCAGGGGAGGCGCTGACTTTTCCACTTTTGTGGAGTCGTCTTTGGCATTTTTGCTCGTTTTTGGCTTTGGCCATAGCCGTGTTTTGATGCCTTGAAAGATTAAGCAAAGGAGAAAAAAGGAGAGAATTGCATTACAACAGTGCCTTTGAAAAGTTTTCACACCTGTTGACCTTTTGCTACCAATAACACTTCTGTGCATTTCATTGAGATTTTATGAGGTAAGTCAGTTCAAAGCAATGCATAAATGTAAAGTGCAGGGGAAATTATACATATGTCTTCAAATTGTGTTTAATAATCCATTTTCAAGTTCTGCTTCAGATTCTCAGTTGAATTAATTTCTGGACAATGACTGGGCCGTTCTAACACATCAACATACTTTGCTCTAAACCACTTTGTAGGAATTGGTGCTGTACCACCTTAGCTAAAGAATTGCCCCGTATGCTCCATCCATCTTACCATCAACTCCTACCAGATTCACTATATCTGCAGAAGGAAGCATCCCACAGCATGACGCTTCCATCGCAATATTGAGATTCTGTGTTCATGGTGAGGTGCTGTGTTATTTCTATGCTATGTGGCAATTTTCAAGTTGGAGAAAAAGTTTAATTTTGGCATTCTCTGACTGGAGAGCTTTCTTGCTGCACATCATGATTTGTGAACTCATAATTGACTTTTGGAGAGATTCTTCCACCTGAGTTGTTGATGTCTGCAGTTCCTCCATTAAATTACACACCTTCAGTCCTCAAGGGTCAGTGTCTTGACATTTTTATATGTGCCTCTGCGCCAACACAGCTGATTGAAAATCTTCAACTCATGTCATAATGTTCTTCAGATGCCTGCTTACTCAACCATCATTTGATTAAACTGTGTTGAAGAAATGACAAAAATTAAAACATGCAGGAACCCTTAAGGACTGACCTTGGACACCAGTGCTGTCATGTCAATTTTTTTTTGAAAATCTCAATAGTTATCTTCATAAAACACTATGAAATAACCACTGACAAATAAAGGGGATTTTTTTTTTTCCAAGCAGCACTTTCTTACTTACTTACTTATATGAGGAAGATATTTGCTGCTCTGCCATCAGTGTTTGACTCTTATGGGAAATCCGCGCGGAGACAACTAGTAAAGCCGTTCCATGTCTAGAACATTGGTAATGGGATTAACCTCACTGCCATGTCACTTTGTCTTGTGTGACATAAAACGTCTGCCCTCTTTTACATCATTCACAATGGAGGCTTCATTAATTTCAAGGTGAAACTTCAGCACTGAATCTAGAAACAAATGAAGTAAATTTTAAGCAGTTTAATTTAACATGTGATAGGATGACTGACCCCCTGTTCTCTGTCCAAAGAGCTGAATCTTAATTCTCAAACGGTACATCGAGAAAAAAAAAAAAGATCTTTTAAAACTTTAGCTTTCATTTCTGTCAAACGGGAAAGTTTTTCTACTTTCATGCCGAAGTTGCACAATGTTCCTTTTTACAGGAAGCAGGAATCAACAGCTTCAGTGTTATGTAAGGAGCTGGTAAAACGGGGTCAGGAGTTCTGTTATTTGTCAGCATATTCAACCTCCCAAAACACACTGATAAATAACAGACTTGCTGATCCTAAAAAACATAAACTCACTTCTTAGATATTTCATTTTGCACTGTCAGCTGCTGCTTCATCACGCTGCTTTACCTCCTGGTCACTGATGGCTAAATTTAGTCGATGCTTGGCGAATTTCCCAGGATAACGAGGATTACTTGCCTCTCTTAGACGGTATTTATGGGTTAGGTCCAAAGGTAGAACGTTATTTTTAAGAGACCTTACTGGCCCTATGACTTTTTAAAGAGCTTCCTTTGGAGGTCAGTGTTGACCTCTGGGATCTCTCTGAACAAAAGTCGGGCCCCTGACTGGAAAAATGTTAACAAGACAATAAAAATATTTTTTTTCCCTTAATTTTAGACAATGTATTTCACCATATTTTACATATTATCTTAGCTAATTAAAAATACAAATAAATAAACTTGCTTATATGAGCTAAATGACAAATTTAAACCCTGAATTTCTGTGACATATTTTCTCTATACATAAAATTACACGAGAATTACACCGACAGCTTATGCAGAACAGTATAGAGCTTCACTGAATAAAATGACTGAAAGTGTTATAAAACCTAAACATTTTCTCTAATTACCAGATATGCTTATATCCATCCATCCATCCATTTTCTGAACACCCTTGTCCCTCAGTGGGGTCGGGAGGGGTGCTGGTGCCTATCTCCACCTCAGATATGCTTATATGAAAGTTAAAAAAAATAATCTTAAAATAAAGTTAAAGTCCAATAAGAAAAACTTCTGTTCTTCAGTTAAACACAGCATGACATAAAGGGACGATTTAAGTATCATAGTTCATGATCTTTAACCTGCTAGTTAACTAATTCTAACTAAATTCACAAAAAAGCAATTATAAAGTTGAATTTTAGATGAATGAGTAAAGTAGGAAATCTTACCAGGGAGTTGTGGGTCCTTCATGTCTGTCCCAGAGGCTTTACCACCTGACTGTGACCAAACATGGGAATAGAGCTCCAGAGGACTAATTCACTCCTCACAATCCTATTAATACGATGTACTAGTAGACGGCTCATTATCTCCCCTGGCACAAACTGACCTCATAAAAGTGCTGAAAACGTACGTCCAGAGTTTAGAGCAACCACGCGTCCATGTTCATGCAGAGTATAGAGTGATGTTTGCAGATGTGATGTTAGAATTGGAATATAAGTTAATCTGTTAGCATTTTAAACCACTGGACCAAAGTTCATTTAGAATGAAACAAAACAGTATTGAAGATTCATGTTAAAAAAAATCCCACTATGGTAAATTACTGTGTACATTTTCCTACCAAATTAAAATATTAAATATTATACATCTCAATTATTTTATTTAATTACATTTCAACGATAAAAACTAATTATCTGCATCATCCAAAGGAGCAATGAAGTGAAAGTGTTTTGCAACAGATGGCGAGTGTCTTGAATGCAAAAGTGAGGCGCATGTGGACAGGAAGAGATAAGACTCCTCTTCCATTTGTATCAGGAAGTTTTAATTTTTAAATAAGTCAGAAAAATCAACTGCAACAACTCCAGATCTAAACTCCAATATTGCTACGAGATAAATAAAAGTATTAAAAGTTGCCAGTGACAGCACTGAGCTTTCTTTTGTAGTAGGCTAAATATATTTCACTTTGTGCAAAAAGATCAAAAATATATTATTGTCTTATCTTGGTATACGTTTGGGTCGCTGAGCACAATGTCTAGCAAATTAAACTGTTTTCCCAGCTGCCAATGGGAATTCACTTAACTTTGATTAAACAACACTGAATATTCTGACTTCTGAAGTAAAAGCAGCACACCAAGTGTATACTGGTGAACTGAATTATATTTTTTATTTCAGTTATTTATTTATTTATTTTTTTTACCTCACTCTATTTTAGCTCACTTTCCAAAAATAACCTTACATAAACTAACAAAATAAAATAAGTAATGATTCTGGTAATTCGGGCTCTTGTGTGTTTGCTGCTTTCCACTTCAGCGGCGTAAACAAGTACTACTTCATAGCTTTCGCTGACTTTTACTGCCCTCTAGTGGGTAAACCGTAAAGCGACTAACACATTTTCTTCATATGAACGTTCAAAAATTCTATAGCTAATGAACATTTAATCTTACCATTATAAAATTAAAATATATCGCCATATTCAGACAACAAAGTCTGAGTCTCGACATTACTGCAGCATGTCCATCTGAAACTTCGGTAGCGGTAACGTGGCTTGAAGGACATTTCATTCCAGCCAATAGCCTTGCCCTAAGTCACAGCTGTCCAATCAGCGACGAGTATGTGTTGGCGGTGCCTGAGCTAACGGACCAATAAGCAGAGATAGTTCCACTAACAAGCCGGAAGCACATGCTGGCGCGCTGCTGCTAGAGATGTTTGTGTTTTGACATGAATACACACTTTCACAGCTGAGTGACGTTTAAGATAAATAAAGTTGCGATCACCTTCATAGAATGGCAGCTACTGTAGAAGCGCCTGTCCCAGCGGAGCAGGACTCTGCGCGGTGCGGGACTGAAGAGGAGAACCGCGGGGCGGAGGTGGAGGAGAAGAGCCAGCAGCAGCAGCAGCAGCAGCAGACATGCTCCACCGGGCCCGCCGTTCCTCACAGCCGTCTGTCCAAACTCCCTCTGGCCCGCATCAAAGCTCTGATGAAGACCGACCCAGACGTGTCCCTCGCCAGCCAAGAGTCCGTGTTCATCATCGCTAAAGCCACGGTACAGTCACATCATTACCAAGGATTTATAGAAGCCTTACTGTTGATTTTATTGTTATACAGATTTCTTTCACACAGCCTGATGTATTTCAAGCATTTGAATTAGCTAATTTCGATTATTATGGCTTCCATCTAATGAAAACCCACGATTCAGTCAAATTCTCCTTTACATAAGGCTAAGAAACAATAATATTAATACAGAAGTGTTTCTCAGTGGATAGGACTAATAAATGGACTGTTGTCCAGCACATAGACATTGACATCACCTGCAAGGAGGAGAAGCTGGTTGTTCAGTGTTTTGTATGAATAGTAATGGGAAGTTGAGTGGAAGGAAAAAGTGTGGTTGAAACAGATACAAAAGGAAAGTACTGCAGCAGATGCAGCTGTAAAATCCACCTGTGAAAATAAATTGTTTATTTATATAATTTGTCATTTACTCTTTTAAGTTTTTTTTCTATCTTATTTGTTTCTGGAATAGTACAGGGTGAACAATACTACAGTAAGAATTTGGTCTGAATAAGGTGGATAGTTAAACATAAATTCTAATAAATTAATCAATGGATAAGCATAAAGTGTTTGTCTTGTATACAATGAAATATAAAATATTTATTTACATTTATTTTTTCATATCCCATAGGAATTGTTTGTTGAGATGATTGCCAAAGACGCTCTTGTGTACGCCCAGCAAGGAAAGAGGAAAACATTACAAAGAAAAGACTTGGGTAAGTCTTGTTACGTTACTTAAGCTACTACAGTAGTATGAGATATTTAGCACATATGTGAAACTGAAATTTGTGAAGCAAAGTATGCTGATTTTACATATAAACATATAAAGGGGTGCGGGTTTTAATGTTTTTATCTTTTTTAATCTTTTTCAAAATGTCTATCTCTTTCTCACTGTTTTTTCAATGTCACATGCTGCTTTTATTTTAATTATGTGAAGCACTTTTGCCTTCTGCTGAAATGTGCTATACAATTAAAATTTGATTGATTGATTGATTGATATAAACGATCATTTACTCTTAAAAATGTTGCTTGCAATTCATACAGTCCGTGCCAGAGGCAGTGTGGGCCTGATACGACCACCCTCTATGCTTTTCAATTAAGCAATTAAGATTTTTATTATGCTTGTAGAGTTATGTCATTATCTACTCTTTAAGCAAACTCTTTCACTCCAGACTCAAAGAGCTCTAGCTTTGTGTATTTATCATAGTTGATATCTTTCCAGTTTCAGTAATTAAAGGGAATGTCTCTCAAAAACATCGATGAAGAGAGACGGAGGCACGGTGTCACAAGAACTCGGGGTTACAATGAGAAAACTATTGAGAAAGATCAGAAGATTATTCTATTGGATGATATTATGAAGCCTGATAGAATATTATGTCCAAATCTCAATTTTCTGGTTAAATAGAAAAATGGACATCTCAAAGAAAGTATCTGTCATTGTTAATAACTTGGTTTCTCCACATCTGCAGTTTTCATTTTATATTTTAAATGTAGCTTGTAGATGATTGGTACATATTTATGTATGCATTTTAAGCACCTCTAGTGTTTTTATCAACAGTATCATAGGGTGCAGTAGACTGATATCAGTGATGAAAATGTTGTATTTTTGTTCACAGACAATGCTATTGAGGCCATAGATGAGTTTGCTTTCCTAGAAGGTAAGCCTTGTTCAGACAATACAAATTTTAGTTATTTACCTTTCATCACATAATCTGAGCATTCTCCTAACTCCATAAATTAGAGATGCCCTCTCCTGTTTTCTCTGCAGGTACGCTAGATTAAAGAGTCCTTTGCGAGACCAGTGAGCAGACGTCATTTCTGCCATCATCCAGGAACCTTCCTTTGCAGAAGCAGCTGTCGATAAATCTCTCTGGGACGTTTCTGAATCAAACTCACACATTCAGTGTTTATTGACAACTTTTATGCATAGCTGATCCCGTTGGATTTCTTTTAACTGTAATGTGTATATTCTTCTGTAAATATCTGGGTAATTCTACCATAGGTTGAAATAAATTTTATGTTTTAAACAGCACGCGTTCGTCTGCATCAGATTTCTGTAACGCCCCTGTTTCTTTCATGTTAAGCTGAAATCACAGCTTAACATGAAGTTGACCTGCTGCTGTCAAGGAACAGTTTGAAAATGCTTTCAACCTGAGGGTATTTGTTTAAAATCAGTAAAAAGCAGATGTTTTTGATCAGCTAGAACATGTTCTTCGGATTAGGTGATCCCAGTCTGAAGATATGTTAATTATTTCAGCTGATGGTCAGCAGCTTATTGGCTCGAGTTTAGTTTTATTTGCCTCTAAACCAGCATCTAATACAAAATGTGATATCAGCTGGCGTTCAGACCCTCAGGTGAGGTATGTTTAGACTTTCTGCTGTGCAGAAATGCTTTTTTTTTCTTTTTTCAATCTTTTAAAATAATTTTTTATAAATTATGCTGACACCAATACTTTGGTAAAAAATGTTATGCATTTTCACTACATAATTTTTCTAATTAATTCTAAACATGTCCAGCGGATGTTGATACGATTTTAGGGATGTGAAATACTTATTTTTCAAATATTCAAGTAAAGCAAGAGTCTTGAGTGTCCTGAAAAGCACCAGAGAAATGTGTGAGAAAACAGATTGCATCTTTCTGACAGGCCAAAGTTACAATTTACAATGCCTTCACTGTAAAGTTGTTTATTCAATACTGACACAACATTGTCCTCCTAAATAGGAGGTCTTATTATCCGATGCATAAGCTGACGTCAACGTTAATGACAGTTGAGAAAAACCTTTCTGAAATGGTCCCACACTGAAGGAAAAAAAAAATACAGAAAGCCAAGAAAAAACTTTAGACTGAATTTGAAAAAGGTGAAAAATAATAATTCAGGACCTAAAGAGATTTACAAACCTCACTCTTTGTGTAAGCTAGCCAAGCAAAACCTTAAACTCTGCTTAACAGCTTAATTAATGGTTTCACAAATACTTTTTATTAAGACCAGAGGGGATGATAAATCCATTGGTGTTGTAGATTTAATTGCCTCCATCTTCATTCTGTGGATTTTTTTAAAAAGCAGCTAGAGACTCATTTATTCAGACCAACTTTTTAACTGGATTTGAGCTGCATAATGTGAAAAAAATATGCTTTCTTCAAAACAATCACAGTTCTGGTGAGTTGAGAACTGAAACAGGAAAAAAACTGATAGTGGAACAACTAAAAAGAAGAATCAGGAACAAAATACATCTAATAACATTACACTTCCTTCAAAACAATCACAGTTCTGGCGATCTGAGAACTGGACAAAAAATCTCAGTTGCAGAAGAAATAGTGGAACAATCAAATAGAAGAATGCTTGAAAAAGTTGTGAAAATAAGTCAATTTACAAATGTCTGCTGTTTATGTCACAACTGCTAGAAAGCATAACTTACAAAATTTACCTGAAATATTCTCTCATCATGCATTGAGACACGATTAGGGATGCTTTATTTTACAAGACTGTGTGCCATGTCAGGAGAGCTGACTGGTTCTTCTCTCCTTTTGTTTCTTGGCTGCACATAAAGCACACGAAGCAAGCCCACGGAGAAATACTGAGGTTCGAATTTCTCCCTCTGCACCGTGACACAGAAAATCACATCGCACCAGGAATGTACGAGACGAGAGCCTCTCCAGACCTGAGTTGTGTGTTGTTCTTCCAGGCAGCGCTTGTAAAACACATCCAAAGTCTCTAGTTTCAGACTCCAGGCTCAGTCGAGACCCTGAAACATGTTTGTGGTGGAGATTTCTAAAATAAATTCCTCAGTGTGTTTAAGGTGATTTTTCAGGGTTTAGTGTTTCAGGGGGCAGTGAAGCGTGGAGTGATGGGAAGCTCAGCTGTTTGGTTTCAGGAGAGCAACGGTCTACTCCCTGCAGAGGAATGCACACTGCTCCTTATCCTCACATGATGGAGGACTGGGCAGTGCTGCTTTACTTTCACGGTTAAAAAAAAGAAATTCTCCGAAAAATTCAATACTGAACATCTCTATTAAATACCATAGTCATTCATTCAAGGCTCCAAGTCATGATAGATTTAGTGTTAAACATGTGGCCTTGCTTATAAAAATATTCATATTCAGTTTATAAATTTTTCAAACGACTGACAGACAAAAGAAAAAAGCCAATCAATTTATTAGCAATTAAAACAACCGAGTCCATATCTGTCTTCATCTGGACGTACAGGTCCTTCTCAGAAAATTTGCATATTGTGAAAAAGTTCATTATTTTCCATAATGTAATGATAAAAATTAAACTGTCATATATTTTAGATTCATTGCACACCAACTTAAATATTTCTGGTCTTTTATTGTTTTAATACCAATGATTTTGGCATACAGCTCATGAAAACCCAAAATCCCTGTCTCAAAACATTAGCATATTTCATCCGACCAATAAAAGAAAAGTGTTGTAATACCAAAAAAGTCAACCTTCAAATAATTATGTTCAGTTATGCTCTCAATACTTGGTCAGGAATCCTTTTGCAGAATTGACTGCTTCAATGCGGCGTGGCATGGAGGCAATCAGCCTGTGGCTCTGCTGAGGTGCCATGGAGGCCCAGGATGCTCCGTTAGCGGCTTTAAGCTCATCCAGAGTTTTGGGTCTTGCATCTCTCAACTTTCTCTTCACAATATCCCACAGATTCTCTATGGGGTTCAGGTCAGGAGAGTTGGCAGGCCAATTGAGCACAGTATCACCATGGTCAGTAATTCCAGTGGTTTTGACACTGTGAGCAGGTGTCAGGTTGTGCTGAAAAAAGAAATCTTCATCTCCATAAAGCTTTTCAGCAGATGGAAGCATGAAGTGCTCCAAAATCTCCTGATAGCTGCTGCATTGACCCTGCCCTTGATAAAACACAGTGGACCAACACCAGCAGCTGACATGGCTCCCCAGACCACCACTAACTGTGGGTACTTGACACTGGACTTCTGGCATTTTGGCATTTCCTTCAGACTTCAGAGTCTTCCTCCAGACTCTGGTACCTTGATTTCCGAATGACATGCAAAATTTTCTTTAATCAGAAAAAAGTACTTTGGACCACTGAGCAACAGTCCAGTGCTGCTTTTCTATAACCCAGGTCAGGCGCTTCTGCCGCTGTTTCTGGTTCAAAAGTGACTTGACTTGGGGAATGAGGGACCTGTAGCACCTTTCCTACACACGCCTGTGCACAGTGGCTATGGATGTTTCTACTCCAGACTCAGTCCACTGCTTCCGCATGTCCCCCAAGGTCTGGAATCGGCCCTTCTCCACAATCTTCCTCAGGGTCCGGTCACCTCTTCTCGTTGTGCAGCGTTTTCTGCCACACTTTTTCCTTCCCACAGATTTCCCACTGAGGTGCCTTGATATAACACTCTGCAAACAGCCGATTCGTTCAGAAATTTCTTTCTGGGTCTCACCCTCTTGCTTGAGGATGTCAGTGATGGCCTTCTGGACAGAAGTCAGGTCAGCAGTCTTACCCATGATTGTGGTTTTGAGTAATGAACCAGGCTGGGAGTTTTTAAAAGCCTCAGGAATCTTTTGCAGGTGTTTAGAGTTACTTTGTTGATTCAGATGATGAGGTTAATTGCTCGTTCAGAGAACCTATTCATGATATGCCAATTTTTTGAGACAGGGATTTTGGGTTTTTATGAGCTGTATGCCAAAATCATCAGTATTAAAACAATAAAAGACCAGAAATATTTCAGTTGGTGTGCAATGAATCTAAAATATATGACAGTTTAATTTTTATCATTACATTATGGAAAATAATGAATTTTTTTCACAATATGCAAATTTTTTGAGAAGGACTTATATATAAGTATCTCTTGGTGTATATATGATACATATATATGTATTATATATACAGCAAACTCTTCAGTTTATAGAAATGCTTGAAACGTTTAAAACGCCTTAAAATTCTCACACCGAAACAATCAGAAACAAATTTAATTGTACAATTTTTGATTATTTTACACCTTTAAATAGAGTACATGTTTTTACAAAGTCACTATTTCCTTTAATAATACATACAAGTTCCGTTAAAATTTACATTTATTAACTAAAAATTGTTAAATCTTCCAAAAAATGATGTGTAGAAACACCCAAAAAGGCAAAAAACACTTTGTTTTGTTGTAAACTGTCTTTCTCTACTTCAAGGTACTCAAAAAACCCATGTTACATGTCACAACAAATGAACTGATTTTAATTAAAAATGTTACCAGCTACAAGTTTGTAACCAAACTTGTTAAGTATCCTTCCCATCGCTCCCGGGGTTGTTGTTTATTTGTGATTTACCATATTTGTGGCTCAGCACGACAGATATTTTAATCAGGGCAAAGATAAACAGAACGATGTATCTGGCTCACAGGCAGGCCTGTAGTCATGAGAAAGGTATGTTTGTGCAGTTTAGATTCCAGCCTGATTTCTTGGGTCAAATTCCCACACCCATCATGCACACATGCTCACATATACCCACATGTATGCATAGTGCACGCTTTTACGCCAGCCTCACCCCTCAGCACAGACTGCATATTTTCATACCTTGAATTCCTTAAGGACATATTGTTGCCTTCATGTCTGGACAGTTTCTCCCCCTCAAGCTTCACAAAGGCATTATACGCTTTCATTCAGGAGTGTGTTAACACAACTACCTTAGAGAGGCATTTTCTTTATGCAGGGAAGCATAAATGTTTTCTAATAAGAAAATGTTTCGCTAAGGTTTTAGTTGTTCTGTGTCCTCTGGCAGGATGTTAGCTGCTTGCTATCATCTATGTGTCATTTTATTAAGTTAAATCAGAAATTGCCATCTCCAAAGGTGATTTTCTTTGCAACCACAGAATGTGTAGCATTAGCTTGAAGTGACTTCTCAGAGGCTGTTCTCAAAATAACAGCTAAGATCTCATGAGTGAAACACAAACTTAGAGAAAATGAAGAGGCTTCTTCCATTCACTATAAGGCTTTTTATAAAGTAGGTCTTTTCTTGTGTGTTTGGAGAAATGAAAGGGGTAGCACACCCATACTGCAACATTGACCTCAATACTGTTAAAATTTTGGTTTTTCCAAAGATTAGAAAATGTTTTCATGATCACTGAGGTGACATGCAGACTGCTTTTAAATTTTTGGGCAGGGTACTCGGTTGTTAGGTTTCCAACAGTTTCCTATTTTCATGTGGAGATTTGTTTGGACGAATCTCCATATAAATACTTGCCTTGTGAACTTTTGTCTTGTATGGCCGTTGTGGTTTGCACTGATGTGTAGGACCATCCCTCCAGGACCCATTTTGTTTGTGTTCTTGTTTTGCACGTTTTTTTTGTTTGTTTGTTTTTTTTTCTAAATACCTGTGTTTGGGCATGTAAATCTGTTATATATTGTGAACTACAATCCTGAATACAAATAAAACTGAAAAGTTGTAAAAGTGATGTCTGTTCATGGCAATCGGGAAGACTCGTTTGTGGATCCATCCCAGCTGTTTTACTGAAAACGTTTTATATCTTTAAGCCCAGTCAACACAAAAGAAAGCAGGGATTTCTAACCAAACATAAAAGGTATGATACAGACTTTTTGACTTTACTGGCAAAGCATGCTTTATAATCCTGACAAATTACCAACCATAAATAACAAGGAGTTTAGCCAGTAAAAAGGCTTTTAACTGATCTGCACTAGGAGCTTTAAATGTCAACGTTTGGTGTTAATCCAATATAAAAAAAAACTTAGGAGGGTAATTCATTCATCATACCAGATCAAAATTAAAAGCATGGTTACCTTTTCATGAACATGAGAAAATAAGACAGATTGTTGAATACACAAGTACCGCTTCACTGCAGGAGTACAGAATAACTCTTGCACAGGGAGTCTTGATATCCCTTGGGTCAATTCCGTCATACTTACTGTGACTTATTGTTATTCATATTCTTTTCATTTTCAGGTGATGGTTTGATCAGTATCCTGTGATACATTCAAAGCTTGGATTATTGTTTATAAAACATAACTCTACTTTGAACTTCCACAATCTTCTCCCCGACCTGTCTGCTGTGATTCTTGGTCTTTCAGAGTCTGTTTGTTCAGGAATGTGAGGTCTTAACTCATGTATATTTAAATTAAGTCACACACAGGTGAGGTCTATTTACAAATCATTTGACCTTCAGATGTAATTGTTTGCAGTGTATTATATGTAATCATTGTGACGGGCGGGAATTCAAATGCAGCACACAATTTTCAGATATTGTTTCCCCTGTCCTGCCCACTTATACTGTGAAACACATCTCAATAAATTTAATTTAAATTTTCACACATTTTTGTTTATATCCACAACATAAAGTCACTATTATTCTTAATGTGATGCATACCAAAATGTAAACATTCATTGCACAATCAAAATTATCTAATATATTAGGAAGAGAACCATGGGCTCCATAAGTCTGCACATTCATCTGTTCAACCAATAGTAAGCATTAATGTTCAGCCATTGTAATGTTCTGGAAAGAAATCAGTTCTATTTGCCAGAGTTAAATGAGTTTGGTGCAAAATATCTGCTGGGTTACAATTTGTAAGTGCTGTCATTGTTATAGATCTTAATTTTTGGAGACATGCCTCGAGGTTTCATGAAATAGAAATGGAATTGTTTGACCTTAATAACCATCAATACCTTTGAGAAAAAGGTGGGGCCCCAAGAAGTCTGAAAACACTGTTCTAGGTGTTTTCACCTAGAACACCTAGAAGCATGAAGCACATGCTTTAGTGTCATGTTGTGTGGATGTTCTGCTGCAGGAGGGACTGGTGCACTTCACAAAATAGAAGCCATCATGAGGAAAGACCATTATGTGGAAATATTGAAGCAACACGTCAGCTAAGTATTAGTAGGTGTGATAACAGATGGTTGGATAAAAGGAAGAAATGTTGAATTATGCCGGAATAAAAGACATATGTTAAAAATTGTGTTTAATTTAAAATAAATGCCATTAGGACCATATGAACGTGTGATATGTGTGGAAAAAGTCCTGGTGTTCAGAATGTATGGTATCACTGTAACAAACCTGCAGGAGCATTTTTTATTCTTTGATGTATTTATTGAAAAGTTACGTTACAAAGTACAAAAATACAGACATTACCAATGAGAGAATGAACAAACCCAGTTCTCACTATCATTTGAGAAAAGTAAAACGATACATGACTGCATATCGTCACTGTATATGACCAGATTGAGTCGTATAGCTACAAACTATTTCTGAACCTGTCAGGGGTTGATTTAAAAAACAAAACAAAAAAACAAACATGATTTACTCCCATTTAAATTGGACAACACATCCCAGTGCAGTATTTTTTTAATTAAAAGTAACCCATTAATGTGACAAATTACACCTCCAGCTTTGATTTATTACAGATTAATTAGTGCAGCAGCATTTCTTCATCCATGACGCGTTGGCAGATTTTACGATCGATCATTTTTCACTCTGCTGTTGTTGGATGTGTTATGTTTTCATAATCTGTTTCTATCGTTTTTCCCAGCACAGACTAACCATGTTAATTCTTATCGGAAACAGATGCAGAGTCACTTTATTTCCTCTGGTTTTTATTATGTAATCAGGCTGCGCTGATGCTTTCCATTGAAGCCGCCACGCTACAGATGAATGCACTTTGCTGGCATGTTGAAGCTCCGCGTTGCTCTTGTGCTGTTTGATTATGGAAGTAAAGTTCCAACTTTATTATGATTTATGCATGGAGAAGATGTAGAGCTCTGGCACTGAGCTGTTATTCAAACAGCTATATCATTTGTTATAAAAATACTTTCCATTGATTTGGTGACTTTAGCGCAGAGTGAGCCAATGTGCTCAGATTAGTTTCATACTGATGTTATAGTTCAGAGTTTGCTCTGTTATCTGCAGCATCTGTCAGAAGTTTATACCTGTGGCAGAAGTAAAAATTAGATAAGTTCAAATATAAACATATGCTCTCATTAATATAGTAATAAATGTCCGTTAGAGCTTTAACTACATGCTCTTTGAAACAAAATAACAGAGTCCTGGCATAAATTTGGCTGAGCATTTATCAGAAACAGGAGAGCTTCCAGGCACAAACCTAAATTTTAACCAAAGTTTGTACATTTTCAGTAGAGTTGAGGACAGGCTATTCCAGAACCCCAGTATCAGCTGGTTTGGACGTGTTCTGGGAGTTAATTATCTGACTGGAATGCACAGTTGTGTCAAAGTTTCCATTGTTCCAAGCTATTCAGCTTGGAACAAGCTGAATAGCTGGATGTTACTTTTCAGTCTTTATTATTTCAGCCAGTTTGTGCTACGCAAGCTCACATGCACAGGAAGGGGGTCCTGTATGCACAAAGACCCCAGGCAACAGAACTACCAACGCTGCCGCCATGCATCAGTTCAATTTAATTCAATTCAGTTCATTTCAAAAGCCAAACATATTGCATTTATCCCCCTGATCATAGCTGTTCTCTGAAGGCATTTAGTTTGTGCGTTTCTGCAGCTGCACAGGTCAGTCAAGCTTGAAGGTGTCGGTCTTGGAGCAACTAATTCTTTTTCGGTCGCCACCGCCTCAGTCCACAATGATTTAAAACTGCTTGCACAAGGGAGAACGTGCGACCTCAAAGTACAAACTCCCAGCTGGGATTCAAACCCGTAACCCTCATGTCTCACTCCTGAAATACCAACAAATTTAAGTGGTAAACGACGCAGCCAGAATGAGTCCAGAAGCTATTATAAGTTCATGATTAAGGTTCATCCTGCTAAGGGACATTTAATCAAATATTTTTGGGGTGTATGTACATTTTTGAGCCTGTAAAATTCCGCTTAGAGAAAATCCTCAATAAACTCAAACTTTTGCATCCTGTGCAGATTAAAAAATGCGCTCACTGAAGTTGTTTGTTTGGTAAACAATATTTAAACTGCATAATTATGCATTATTATGACATCAGTGCCCCTAAGAAGTGCAAATGAACCTAAATAAATCTTAAATCTGCAAATAGAAACCTGTTTTTGTCAACTTGCTTGCTAAGTAACTGGACAGGCAATGTGATTTAATGTGATAGCATGAGCAGTGTTATTTGTTTTTATCACTCTTTTGAAATCTATTCAGTCCTTAAAGCAAAACATGCAGCAGAGGAGGAAAGAGGAATTTAAAGCCTCAAATCAAACAAATTGGGTCTGGCATCCTGAGCGAGGACATGAGAAAGGAGAAACCAGGGAGAGGTGGTATGAACAGATCAGGGAGGGAAAAAAATCAGAGACTATGAGGGAGGAAGAGAGTTGAGCGGGAGGCTGACTGAGGATGGATAAACAGAGGGTGGGAGGGAAGGACGGTAAGAGACAGAAAAAGGAGAGGTGGTGAAAGTGAGTGAGTGAGAGATGGGCAGGGAGGTATAAAGAGAGGGAGGGAGTTATCTACAAGAGGCAGCCATAGAGGGAGAGGTGACAGAGTAGATTATCCTCTCCTCCCTGCCAGTCTCACCATGTTCATGCTGCAGACGCTGACTGTTCTCTCGCTCACTGTCATCTTCCTGGCATCTGTAGAAGGTAGGACACAGCTATCCTTTGAACGTCTGTGTGTTTTGCGTCTTGCACGTATTGCATGCACCCTGCAGGTGGACAGGGTGGCAAACAGAGCGATGGCGAAGACACACAAAAAAAGAGGAAAGAAGAGGGGAAAGAGAGGCATGGCAGCAGCGAGGATGTAGGCACGGATGTAAACAGAGGGGCAGAACGCAGGATGAGCATCTGAAAAAAAATCACACGCATGCAGAGCGACATGCCAGCCAGCCTCTTCTATGAAACACAGCTTAGGAAGTGATCCGATTCGGCATCACCCATGGCATGACAAACAGCTCTTTCCTTCTATTATTACTATTTTCTTTTTACAGCTCACATTGCTCCTAGTGCTTCAGATCTCACTTTGTTTTGTTTACACATTAGCTTTGAATGAGGGGACGTGATGCCAAACACACACTCCCCCTCTCCTCATCTCACTTCCACTCATTTCTCACACTGAACAGGGTAAACCAGTGCATCTCCTCTGACATTCCTATGAGGATTATTTTTAGGACAGATAATGTGGCAATAATGCATAATTATTCTGCAGCTGAGATGATTCCTGGTTATTACCAAACTTTTTTAATTGTATTTTTATGTTGATGCTGTGATGTGGTGCACAATATTATTCCAAGGTGTCTTTTCTGTTTCCCAGGTAAAGGCGTGCAGATGCAGAGGGATGTCCAGTGTTGCATGCTGTACTCCCAGGGTAAGGTGCGTACCAAAGATGTGCTGCGGTTTGAGGTGCAGACGGAGGGGCCCGACTGCAGCATACAAGCCATCATGCAAGTATTTCAGCTATCCACTCCTGGAGCTTAAGAGCACAGAGGAATTTGGAAGCATGGGGGAAAAAAAGCCTCTCATTAGAGCAGGAGCAGGGCTCCATGGCCCGAGAGGCATTGTCTTCTTTCCAAGTCAAATTGTTATGGCAGAGCTGCTTGCTGTGATTGCCAGGGAAGTAAAAGAGGAAATATGTGGGAACAACAAGCTGCCTGAAAACACCTTTTGGGCGAGCTGAGCCCCGCAGCATTCAGTCACTCGGTCAGAACAGCAGGGTTTAGTTAAGTAAACGACACTGTGATACCGATCGCTGCCAGCAGTTCGCAGAAATCTGATGTAGCAAGAGAGTTTGCTTTTGCACGTGATCCAGTTAACACAAACACAGAAGTCTTCTCACACACAAAATATTTTTACAGCACCTTGAAAAAGTTTTCACTCCTCTTGTCAAATTTCCAACGTACTTCATTGCGATTTTAAATGATGCTCAAATACTCAAGTAGTGAGTAATTGAGAAGAAGGTTTATATTTCTTCCCCAAGATGTTCATGGCGATTATTGGGGAGCTGCAGAGATTCACAACTCAGGTGGAAGAATCTGACAAACACTCCTCAAGTCTGTCCTGTTATGGAGGAACGGAAAGACAAAAGGGTTGATTGAACAATATAAGAAGTCTTGTTTGCCACAAACCACGTGGGAGACACACCAAGCATGTGGAAGACTGTGCTCAGGTCAGATCAGACCAAAATTAGATTTTTTGGCCAAAATGCAGAATGTGTTTTAAAAAACACTAAAAATGCACTTTAACCTGAACAAACCCTTAACACGGTGGTGGCTGCATCATGCTGCAGAGATGCTATTCTTCAGCAGAGAAGCTGGTCAGTGGGTGAGTTAATGTATACAGACCTGCAAGAAAAGTTATTACCTGCAAAAGTCTTCAGATTTGGATGCAGGTTCACTCTGATAAGAGCTTAAAATTGCTTTTTGCAGAGGGACTTCACACAAAAATTGGATAAAAATCAAAGTCTTTAGATATGAAAAATTGGTCAAGACATAAACAAATTGATATGCAACTGAAGGTGTGGCAAAATGTAATTTGACAAAGTATTAAGAGGAGATTAATGGAAGACGACACAGTTTTCTGATTTGTATTTGCAAAAAAAATTGAGAAACGTTTTTCTTTCCTGTGTCTATCACAATCGCGCAGTACTCTGTGTTGGCCTTTCTCAACAATGCCAATAAATCACCCTGGCGTTTGTGGCTTTAAAGTGATCACATATTAAAAAGACTCAAGTGATATGAACATTTTTAATTTACCAACTCATGACTTTCATCATTTTGTTCCCATGTCCAATCGTGTTTATTCTTTCTAATACTTGACAAACGTATTTCTGACCTTACATCTTTCAAATTAGTTTGAAATCTGTTGCTGGGTCAATCCAAGTGAGAGATTCTGCTCTTTCTCTCTTTAGACTTTACACGAAGAAGGCAGTGAAATGTGCGGACCCTAGAGATCGTAAGGTGAAGAGGTTGTTGAGGAAGCTTCTGCAGAGACAGAGACTCAAGAACCACAGAACCATGTGGCTTCCTCGCGACAACCTGCCCGCCATGTCAGAGGTCAGGTTTGAATGACCTTGCAGCTGCTGTTACTCACTAACTACATCTGTCACCAAAGCCTTACTATCTTCCTCATGTTTCCCTCATATGAAATAGTAGAAAAACAAAAATACAAGGTCTGCAGTCCACTTAGATGAAGTTCTGTTTTTAGTCAACACATACAGCTGTAGTTGAATGCAGGCCTCCTTATGTTTCAAGGTAAAATCTGTTTGTAAAAGCACAATAAGCAGTGGAGATCTGTAAATTACAGTTCCATGTGTGTATGCATGGACAATTATGAGATTCTCACTGAAAGTAAAAATACCACAATTTCAATTTCAAATATTGTCACGTTTTTACAAGCAATTTTAAAACAAAATGGAAAACATGAAACAGAAAAGCAACGATTAATTGTGCTGCTGTAAAATAATAAAAGTCCCCCAGTGTCTGCTGGTTTGGGATACATTACTCTGAAAGACTGACATGGTTTCAAGAGAACAGTTTAAAGTGAGATAAACTTTGATTAGATCAAATTATGAACACACAGTCTCTCAGTCCGTTTCTCTGACATAGTGAGTGGATAAAAGCCCAACATCTAATCCTTATCTCTGTTGTGGTCTCGTCCAGGAATGGTGGAATAACGATAGCATAGGCGTAGGAGCCAGGGGGACAATGAGGGATAATATTGGACACAGGCGCATTTGTCCTACCCAACTATTTCACCGCATTTGTGAAAAGTATTTGAATTTGAAATCTTCCACTCGCGTGCTTTTATTTTGAAGGCGCAACACAGCGCCCTCAACACAGCACTTCCTGTCTCCTGAATGCAGGGCTGGAAAGTGAGACGGCACACTGAGTTATCAGTGAGGAGCTAAGGAGCCTTAGCTCATTTTTATTTATTTTGTAGATCAAACTGTTGCACTGATGTAGAGTTGTTCAAGAAGTACAGAGCTTGTTTTTTAGACTCTATTTTTGTTGGTCAAACTGCTGTATTGAGTTAAAAAATGCTGAATCCTATTTTACTATCTGTTTTTTTTTTGTTTTTTTTTTTTTACTTTAGAAAGAGGCAGAACCAGAAAGAGGTAGCAGTGGATAAATAATCTGGTAGCAGACACAAGCCAGGAGATTTGTGTCTGCTACCAGACTGTTTAGCTTGATAGTTGTGAGGCAAATAATAAAGTGTTAAGTCCTGGAATGACAGTCATTATGTTGTTATTAGAGTTACGGGTTACTAAGCAACGTGTTGATGACGGCATTGTTTTTAGTATTTCTGCTCAAGCTATTTACGGATCTGTCAGGTTTGTGATACGTGTCCCCTCAGTGATGCCCCTGACCGATACCTGCTTTTCCATCCAAGCTGCACTTCCCTGCCCTCTCCAGTGCTCTTTCCTACACCGTCACCTCTGACAGAACCTGACCGACTGGTGGTCTTATGTTGGGTATCTGTTTCTGTTCACCAGATCACTGACACAGAATCTAAAGATTAGGGTGATGGGAGGTAGGCATCTCAACATTAAAAGCTTAAAGCTCATCCCAAAAGATTAAATGCCACAAATACCAATGCAAAAAGCTGGTCAGCAAGTAAAAAAAATCCCTTCATTGCTCTAATTGTTCATGGAGAGAATGGCATAAATAATTTGACATGTTGATTTTTGTTGAAATAAAAACAGTGTTACCTCTCATACAATGCTTTTTTGCCTTTTGGAGTACTTCTATCTGATTTCCAATGTGAAAAATCCTTCTTGGTTGAATGAAAATATTTCTTGGGTATGAATATTTTTGAGCTCAACTGTTCCTCAGATTTGATTCTCATATTTGATTCTCACCTGTTACGTTGTTTTCAACTATTGTGATCAGGACAAAAAAGACAACTGGGCAGTTCTGAATGTGGAGTGAAGAAGCGCCGTCAACAGTGGAGTTAGTCGTAGTCATACGTAAGGCTTCCCTAAGTTTAATAAAATTAGTTTAAAGCTTATATTATGTTAATGTCTAATCCAACATCTTTTAAACTCTCCTTTTACTTTGCAGGCCAAGTAATCATTCAGCAGCTCGTCGGCTTTAATCTGCGACGCTCGCTGACGTTCCAGTCATCTTGTGTCTCTCTATCCGTCTCCTTGGGACCAGACCTGGGCAGCAATACTTATTTAAATGGTGTAATAAAATATTCCCGGTATGTGAGAGGGAGAGCATTATTGTAAGAAAAGTTGCAGTGATTTTTATTTAATGGCTTATACTGTTATTTGCCGGAGTCTGCCTGAAAGTATCGCCCTCTGAAATAGTGTAAACACTTGTGGCCGATGTGAGATCAGTGAAACAGCATTGACATTCATATATTATATCTGCAATATACTCTGTGCTTATTTGTGACTCGTACTGCGTAAATAATGTAATGATGTAGTTGGGGTTTTGTCAAAATCAGCTGAGTGTGCAGAAATTTGAAAAACATGTTTATAATATTAACTTGCACTTTGCTCTTTTCTCCTTCGGCTTTCTTTTGAAGTATTTGTACTGAGGCTTGCAGGTCTTTGTTGAGGCCAGCATGGGGAAAAAAATCACAAGGTGATGATTTCCATGGGCTTTAACATACTTTTTAACACATTTTGTCTACTTTGTATATTGACTGTTTGTAAAATATAAGTCGATCTTTTGGATTTTGACCCACCGGCATCAACAAATCATCCGATATAACTTGGCTTAAGTTTACTTTTATCTTTTTAACTAGTAGTTTGACATTGAACTATGCCAAAGCACTCATGAGTCGATTCATTAAATGACAAGGCTGTTAAAACTTAGAGGGCTGTCCTGTGTGTGTACAGCACACAAGCATTGTAACGTAGAGGAATGCACTGTATCTCAAGTGAATTATTTTATAAATTAATCTGAAACATTAACTGCAACTGGTTTTGTGCATTTTGTTGGGGCTGGGTGTTGGGGCTTACGTAGAGATTATACAGTGTTGAGGTTCGTCATGAAGACAAATGCAGGGAAGGTGGCAAGAAAAGCAGAACAGGCGTGTCATTAAATAAAAATATAATTCATAGCAACGTAGCTCGAGACAAAAGCACAATCCAAAAATCAGGGAGTAAAGCAATAGCAGGTTAAATTGAAAGAACATATTTATGTTGACAGAAGCAGATTGAAAGTGTAACAAAAGTACAAAAACAAACATGGGAAGCAGAAGGATCTTATGTTTAACTAGAGACACAGGAGATTTATACACGTTGGGTGGGTGATTATCTAAACCAGAACAGGTGAGAGTAATTAATAACAGCTGGGATGAAGGAGGAGCGAAAGGTTTCACAGACTGTACGTCATTCAGTGCAATTTCTGAAACTGGGTGGGCTGGAAAAATCACATAAAAACTTTATGACAAATAGTAACGTTGAGGAAGTAGTATGAATCTAAACCAAAGTAAGAAAATAAAAACATTTGTTGTCCAGAAATGATTAATTTTATCCTTTAGAACATGAAATAAAGAACATGCTTCAGAAAACCAGGTAGCCAACTTACCCTTATTTCCTCCTGTTGCCATGGTGAATCATGTTTCTGACCTCCATCAATGAGGGCTTATATACCCACTTTTGTTTCCGAGACATGACTATTGTCTCAATCTGCTTTTGTTTTGAAATCGTGATTAATTTTTGTTGGTGGTGGTGGTTGGTTAGGGTGTTGTAATGTAGCTGAGCCCAGTGACAAAATATTAAATGTAGAGCTATATCTCAGCGTCCCATGTTTCACAGTAACATGGAAGAGCAAACAGTATCTTCCGGATAATATCCTCCACAAGGGGTAGCCACAATCACAATAATGAGAATTACAGTTCAGTTCCTGAGACATTTATTCATCACATTTTTCATACAACCTCCACAGAAACGTAGAGCTGCTCTTCCATATAAAACAGTGTTTTGTTTGGTAACATCAAGCATCAGAACTAAGCCATATTTCTGAACAAACATTGCACAAAGTCAGAAAAGCCTTGAAGTCACTGATAAATACAAGCACTTGTCAATCACTAGTCACACCAGACTTAAAAGCTAATTTATATTTAAACTCTCAAATGCTTCACAATGTCTTCACAGTACTCGTTCACAAACCAACAAGAGGAACAGTCAATTCAGATTTTTCAGTTTTCTTGTAATGATGTTAAGTTACTGGCTTACTTGGTACAATTATAAAATAAAAAAAAAAACTACAAGAAAACAATCTTAGTCGCACAGTGTCGTGGATAGACAAAAAATAAAAAAATAACAGCATTTAGTATTGTTGTTGTAGCTAATTCTGTGAAATTATCGGGTTGCAGTAGCACCAAATAAATATCTAAATAAACACCTCTAAGAAAGCACAGTGTGAACAATCACTTACCCCAAGTTACTACACTTAAATCCTTTTTCCTGATTTATTTCACCTTTCAAGCAGTAAAGTACATCCAAAGACTTGAATTAAACTGTGTAGGAAAGCTCACATAATTTTTACCCCATAAAGAAAAAAAAACCTCAGTAATTTCTATTTACAGCCTGATGAGCTTGAGTGCTTTTCTGGTGGTTTGTGAAACCTTGTAAAACTCCCAAAGAGAGGTAGTCAAGATGAAAATGACAAAAGAGGGAGTTCACAGAAGAAATGATATTTGTTTAAAATATTGGTCCTGTTAAAGAAATGGACTCACTGGAGGCTGGGATGTAATGCTAGAGGCAGAAAAAACAGCACATTTAACATAGCAAAATATTTTCATAGGGGATAAATAAAAAGCTTTGGAAGTGTGAAGGGTTCTGAACTTTATGTGGCCTAAATTTATTTTTATATTAATGTTCTAGGATACAATTAGCTTTTTTTAAAGAGGGAGTATTACATATTTTCAAAGTACATAGTGACATTTTATAGTACAATCAATAATCTATGTTACCTTTAGTTGTTATAAAAATGCTGTATTTATAAAATATAACAAAAGAAATTTGACTGTATAGTTTGACGCCTTGAAATTGGGCCTCTGTCTCTTTAAGACGTTCCTGCTCTCTCTGACACTCCGCCCTTGGCACGTCATCATAACGATGCTTCTCCATAGTACTTTTAGCAACGCTGGAGCTTGGAAGCTGTTTCTTATGATGAGCTCAGAAGAGCTCGGCAATTCCTAATTGTCGCTGCCACTAGTCTGAAGGAGCAGAGTGGGGGAACTGTGACTGAGCTGTGCTCTGTAAGGCAGAAGTTCGATTTTGGAACTGCAGCTCCAAGGAGGAGCTTTGTGGAAATAGTTGGTGCACTGTGGGAGCTGGAGTTTAGGCAACCCGAATGACTGCCACAGGAGATTGAATGATTCCTCAAACATGCATGAAAGAAACAAAACAAAGCAACTCTCCAGACGTGTTTTAGATGAGGGAATAACATTATAAGATGATGTAAAGCTCAAAAAGCTGATCTTACATAATACTCCCTCCCTTTAAGAATGCCTCATTTGTTGCAGAAGATGCAGCTTATTAACCAATTTCAATTTAAGGTGTTCAAGAAAGTCCTCTATCTCAACGATCCTCACTTTCTTGCTGAAATGTTATTGATTTGTCAAGTCCTTTCAGGTGAAAACAAATTTCCTCACATCGTGGTCTCGTTGTTGAGGTGGCTCAGTGTGTCATTGTCCTGGCAGATGAGCTGGTATGGCTTCTCATTCTCCTCTATCACAGAGTTTCGCAAGTCAGCATCTTGATTCTGCAGTTCTTCACGGGAGAGATATTCCACGATGCCGGCACCGAGCGAGTCGCCCAGCACGTTGGTGGTGGTGCGCAAACGATCCCTGCAGCGGAGACGGAGACAGAAGATATTAGGTGATAAGTGGAAGGAGGAGAAACTGGGGCAACACCTGCGGGGGTTGATTATGCAAAGAACCATTTCAACCAGAAACATTGGCGTACACCGACTACAAATATCCTCACAGGCTCTCTAATCTGTTGCTCTGCATTATGTATCGATAACCTTTGTGGAGGTGCAGCCTGTAGACTCTCTGAAGCTCCACAATGACATTTAGGCTGGCTCAGTCCCAGACCAATCCCCGTCAAGCTGACATTTAGTGGGAACTCACAAGAACCAATCCACGGCGATGATCAGTGTAATGTCCTCTGTGGGCAGTCCCACCGATGTCAATACGATCACCATGGTCACCAGACCAGCCTGAGGGATGCCTGCTGCTCCGATGCTGGCAGCCGTTGCTGTGATACTGAGTGGGTGGGATGGAGAGTGGAGACATTTAATAAAGGGAAACAAACAAACAGCACATGTGCAGTCATAGTGGGAGTAGTTGAGTGATGAAGCCAAACAAGGAACTATTACACTACCTACACTACAAACTGTGTTACTGTGTTAACGTAACTTAATCAGAAGACACTGTTAATGCAATATGTTTTCAGAAAAGCTTAAACTAGAGCCATAAATCAGTTCATCTAGGTAAGAAAGTCAAAGGACAAAACCGGATTGAAAAAGAGAAAAGCCACTGTAATCCACGTCTTTCCTTTTCCGTTCATCTCATCTTCTAGTTCACATCGAAGATTTCCACCAAACCTCATCAACCTCTAATAAATCTCTACTCTGAAAACTTTAATCAGCTGTGCTTCAATAAATATTGTAATTCTGAGCAAAATTCCCTACTTTCCATGACGAAAACAAACAAAATGTTTCGGTTACAAAAGCTTCGATGGATTACATTTTAAAAGTAAAATACATACGTGACGGAAGAAAATGAGGTGCACATCTGACAAATTTCAACCAGCAGACTCAGTTTCTCATTTCCGTAGTAAACTCATCAACCGGTTTCAGATTAAACCTCACAAAATCTCTGATGTCTTTCTCATTTTTAGATCGATGAAATTATGCTAAATGAAGTTATTTATAATTATTCACTGCAACAGTGATGTTTCTTGACAGAGCATAGGGCTTTGCTGAGTAAGATTCACCGTTAGTCTATGGTGATAATTCGTTGTTTTAGTGCAGTGTTGTGTTTGATTTATAAACTTCAATATGTTTTGCTCAACTACATAAAAGGCTACATAAAAGGCCAAAATTACAGATTATTAAAAGTTATTAATAAGCAGATTGTTTGGGCTTCTAATGGAAAGTGTCACATTATCCAAAGTCCCAAGATGGCACTGTAATATTTTTATTTGTAAGCACCTTTTAGTGTTTGAAACCAAGAAATATGTATTAATTTTCAATAATTTGATGATGAAATGACAGTGGCTTTTAATCACAAAATGTGTTTTTAAGGTCTGATATCCAAATGTAGAAAAATAAAAAATAATACAATGTCTTTGTTCTGTTGTCGTTTGAGCTTAACAGATGTGCTCAGATTTATTTTTGAAGAAGCTTAAAATGTCTTTCGTATAAACAGACAAATTGTACAAAAATGGTTCATTTAGGTAAAATATTAATCCCACTCTTGCATTCATTGTGCTTTAAATTCATTTATTAGTGATTAATGAAAACTTGCTAACCTGATTGTGAGAATCTGCCCAAAGTTTAGGTCCATGTCATTGACTTGAGCGATAAAGATGGCCGCCACAGCCTCATACAGCGCGGTCCCATCCATGTTGATGGTGGCGCCCACGGGGAGGACGAAGCGAGTCACTCGTTTATCGACGTGGTTGTTTTCTTCAAGACATCGGAAAGTGATGGGCAGAGTAGCAGAACTGCAAGACAGTGGGGAAAAAAAAGACAAAAGACGTAGAGATTATAGCGTCTGTGATTAGAGATTGGGTTGTGAAGATAATAATATTCACAACAATTTTATGCTCCTGAGATTTAGGGGTAGCCCCAACAGGAATAAAGAGTGACTGCTAATTTCAACCTGGTGTAGCAGGTGCTATATTGAAGCCTTTGTCTCAGTACAGCTTCATTAATACTAGAATGAAGCCTATTTCAACACATTACATTTTATGTGTTGATAAATGTAGGTGATGTCATGCATTTGGCAATATAATGTATGTGGTTAATCAAGATGTGTTCAAAGACTATCTGTGTCTAACTCCTGTCCTATAGGTGTTGTGTTCTGCATTTTAAAGATGTACTGCTGTGCTAACGTAGCTGAATTAAGTCACAACCTGCTCTGAAGTCCTGCAAAGGCCAGGTGATTAATCATTCATTAGATTCAGGAGTTTTTTTTTACATCCAGATCTAAGATGAACCCGTCATAAGGACTGACTTTGGATGTTACCGATCAAGGTGTGTGGCCCTAGGATGGCAATAAAACTGCTGAATCCTGTAGATCATTGGAAAAAAGTTTCTGTTAGAGTTTTCTGGCTGCAACTTGAAGTCAATGAATCAAAACTTTGCTTAAACTTGTGGGGAGTTTAAACAAATGGATAGAAAATACATTTATTTTTACAAAAACAGTCTGCTTTTGGCATTACAGTGCTGTTGTCATTGTGTGCACAAGCCAACATCTCTTTACACGCTGGATGCTCATCAGAAGATTTCATTCTAAAATGGCCAGTAATATGGCTATTCAGTATGTCTGTTGAGCATTTTGGACAGTAAAATACAAAGCCTTCACTGAGAAATATGTTCATGGTTAAACTCACCTAGACGATGTCCCTAAAGCAGTGATAAGGGCCTGCAGCAGGCCGCCAATGAAACTGTAGGGATTCCTTCTGGTAACCAGAAAGTAGAGCAGCGGCAGGACAAATAGTCCGTGGACTAGAAGACCCACGATGACAGACACCGTGTACATCCCCAACTGACCACCCACTTCTGCCAGATCCTTCATCTCCACTATTTTCCCAGCAATCAGAAACAGGATTCCAACTGGAGCGTACCTGCAGAAGGAGATGATTTGGGAACATTGTTTACTGTCACAAACAAACATGACAAAATGCAAGTGCAAGCTTCAATATCTATATAACAGTTTTTCCAGTAAGTCAGAAAACCCATTTTGCAGGAAAAGCAGCAATTCTGGTGTTATTTACCAAATGATGACGGCTACCAGCCTCATTATGGCCTCGTTTAAGCAGTCAAAGAACTCTTTAAGAGCGTGTCCCTGCTCTTTCATGTTGCCAATGACCAGACCGAAGCACATGGAGAAGACGACCAGACCCAGAGCGTTCACTCCGGCCGAGGAACCAGACACAGGAACCGTTTCCTCCACTGTCTCCTGCAGATCACAACAGAAACAGCACTTTGTAATCTAGGTGTAGGGCTTTATTCTAGTAAATAACAAGATGATATCTTGATTTGAAATCACCTGTATGGTGCGTTGCACCCTGGTGAGGTTTTCACTCAGAGGAGAGTCTGTTATGTTAAGCAAGTCGGTGAGGTTGAGAGTCACTGTCACGTTTCTTGTGGAAACAGTCTTCTTGTACACAGTTTTATGCTGCAAATAAACCCACAAGTGAAGTTATGGATAGAAAGTGAATACTTCTGCATGGCACATGAAATGGCAGAAACTGGAAGGAAGTGAAACAGATTTACCTGAATGAAGCACGCTTCCACCAGGTTAGGGGGAAACATGTTCCTAAGTGGACAGACAAAAACTCCAGATGAGTCAAAACTGGTTTGTTAGAAATGTGTGAAATGTCATCAATAGTCCTGTACTAACATAATGATGTAGCATAGAGGATATAAATAGTGCACAGACCACTTGTTGAAACATCTGGTTTTTCTGACGTAAAAATGAAATCAACCTTCAGTGTGACGTATATCTTGTACATTTGAACTGAAAAAGAAACAACTCTGTTTGACGCTAAAAATAAAAAACAATTAAATGCTACTATTGTTTAGTTGCATAATTGTGTACACCCATAAACTGACACTTTGTTGAAGAACCTTTTGATTCAATTCCAGCATTCAGTCTTGGTGGTTTCACACCTGTCAACAATTTTAGTGACTATTTAATTACGTTCAGCTGTGCTATAAGGATTTTATTTGCATTTATATGTTTATAGTTTGCAGAGAGATTACAGAAGATAAAAAGGATCTCGTTGGACATTAAATGCCAGTCAGGAGAAGAGCATAATTCACAGACCATATTCTTGCAACATGGCACAGAAAAATTAGAGACAAGGGACAGTTTCCAAAACTGGACGAGAAGAAGGCAAGACAGAAAGTGGAGAAGGAACTGCCAAGAGACTGACAGCAACACTGAAAGAACTGCAGTAAATACGGTTCTGTTTTAGTTCTACATGTCAGTAATCCCTTCCTGTGTTTTCCAAATGTTTGGACGAAGGAGTGCGATTGCAAAACAAAAGCTTCTCTGAATCCACCATGAAGCCCAACTTTATGCTGACCATAGTTGCAAAAGACATGCTTATCACAAAACATAAAAAAAGCACCTCATCAAAAATCGAGCACTAAATGTGAAACATGATGGTGTCAGCATTATGATATATTATCAGGACTCTGGAGAACCTGAGAGAGAACCATTCAGCTTTTATGCACCACAAATCTGCAACAAACTTCCAGAAAACTGCACAACAGCTGAAACACTGAGTTCCTTTAAATCTAGACTACCTGTTTTCAATTGCTCTTGATCCAAAATAAATGAAACATTAACCAACAAATTTAATGTATGGTGATGGCACTTGACAAAACGTAATGTTGCCATTGTTGCCTGTGTGTCCAATGACTTAGTATGTTTGTGTTTTTGTGATGTAAAGCTCTATGAACTACCTGGTTGCTGAGATGTGCTGTACAAATACAATTAATTGATTGACAAGCAGCCACCTTGTCACAGTTTTTCTTTCATTTTCTATATATTCCCTCTAACAGCTTTATTTTTATTTTTCTGTTTAAGTGCACAGGACATGGGTCTGATAAAAACGTCTCAAAATATTTGTCAAGTTTATTTTTACTTTGGAAAACCCTGTTTAACTGATAAAGGTGTAGAAACCCCCCAGTTTTATTCTTTTTTCATGTAACCTTCCATGTAGCATTTTAGCCAAACACGTTGATCTCACTAAACCTGTGGGTCCTCACCTGATGAGGTCCAGAAAAGCATCAGTAGCCTGAATGGATTCAATGTTTCCGCTTTTCACCGTAGGACTGTCCCTGCTGCCTTTCCCCGGCTGGATGATCATGACGATCACGATGCCGATAAACACTGCGATCAGTGTGGTCACCATGTAGTACACCACCGCGCGCACACCCATCTTTCCCGATGCTCTCCTGTCCAACGAGGAGATACCTGAGACATGGAAAAAACAATGTTTGTGAAACTGCCAAATGCTGTTAACCCTAACCCTAACCCTAACCCTAATGGTATCATTACTTTATTTTTGTGATTTCTGAGTAAAACATTTTCAGTAAATAAAGAGATTAGATTAAAGCACAGGGACTTATTTTGTTTGCTCATCATGAGCTAACCTGTGACCAGACTGGAGACAATCAGCGGCAGCACTAGCATCTTCAGCATCCTCATCAGGAGCTCCCCAGGAAAGGAAAAGTATTTTATCTCCCTCATGGACAGGTTATGGGGTCGTAGAGCAAAGCCTAGGATTACACCTGAACAGAGAGTAAACATTCCCACACATTCAAACAAACAAATAAAGTAATTTGTACCCAAGTAACTGATAAGTTACATAACCAACATAACATGACTTTATTCCCACTCACCCAGAACCACAGAAGCCACTGTGAACAAAACAAACAGGTTCCTCCTGAAGAAACCTTTGAGGCTTTTCTTGCTGATGGAGCCGATCCTCTGCCTCATGCTGCCTGCTCTCTTCTCCATGGCTCTGCGAAAACGCCTCCTGAGGTCAACTTTGTCCGGCAACGTTGGTTTTTCTGCGTCCTCATTTAGAAAAAGGCTTGCACTGTTGGGTGGCTTCTCATTCATAATAAGCCCCAACACCTGGTCCAGCAGGCAGGTCTCGTGTGAAACTGAAAGAGGATTAAAATCCAATATCTGTCGCTATTCCATATTTTTTTTGTCTTGGATGGATGAAGAAACCAAGAAGCAGATTTCAGCACCAGGCCAGTGATGTAAATCAAAATTAAACGGTGACCAAAAATCTGACAAAAACTCTGGAAGCTGTTATACCATTGGCCTGTGCATTCCTGTTAATTAAATTAGCTTCATGGTCAGAGTTCTCCACACTATAGCATCATTTCTAAGCCAACATGTCAAACTTGAATGCAAATAGAATTTAAAATAACGTTAAAGTCTATTAATTGCACATTCTTAGTTTATTATTGTGTAATAAACTAAAAATGTTACCACAAAATTGATGAAGCAGCAAAGAAAAACATAAAGAAGAAGTAACAGGCAGCTCAACACAAGTCTCTTCTCACTCAAGCTAATGTGTTGTGTGTCCTGTTGCAGATTGTCTCTGCCAAACAGTTTCTCCATTCAGCTCTTACTTTACTTTGAAAGCACACAACGTTAGTTTTGTGCTTGTTGTATATCTCACAAAAATTAATACATTGTTTTAGCTGTGGAAAAAAAAGAACAAAGAATTACATTGTACACCCTGATTCTGTGGGTTTGCTAACTTTTACTGACACTGCAAAGCCTCAAGTCCGGTTTCCTAATTATGACTAAAGCAGGAAAAACTTCTTGTTTTGAAATTAGATAAGTTAAAAAAAATGCAAGTGTCCTTTTTAAATGTCCTGAATGAAAAGTGCTGTCAATGTTAAATTACTGAGCTTTCTTAAATCTTACCGTGTTTCTCTCTTTTCTTTGTGCGTGTAGTAACACGTGGCTGATAGTTTTACGTCTTCCTATCTGCCCTGGCTGCAGACCTGCTTCCTCTTAGCACTTCCCCTTTTGCAAACAGACTAGACTTCCCGCGCTTTGACTCAGTGACGTATTCATGTGTTTATCTACACCCTCAAGTCACACAGATACGCTCCCCCGTTTAACTGAACACCTCAAGGCAGTAATTTCACATTTCTGCATCATTCTCACCCCATATATACGTTTACGTTCTGGTGGTTTTTTTTGCAACAATCTGTTCTTACCTTCCTTGTTTTCTAGCTGCTTTGACCACAGGTGATTTAAAGTAATCTGTCATTCTTTACCCAAAGTTTGCTATAATGTGGCCCCTCTAAATAGGCTAATTTCTTCCCCTTCGATGTTATTTGGGTTTAATCAGGGATCATAATGTGACATATTTCACAATACTCAACTGGCCCACATATGAGAATGAATGAAAATAGATCAAAATATAAAATCTTGATAGAATATTACAGAGTCAAGTTAAATGAACCACTGATATGTGATGCATGCATGCAAAATATTTTAGGGATTTCTTGTAAAGCACTAGCAGGTGGGAATGATGTCTGCCACCAAATGAGGGGAAGAGATCGCAGGGATGACCCAGGACCAGTTTATATGCTGGCGTCCTCTATCTTTAAAGCATTCTTTTTATTTCAAACTGAAAAATATATGTTGCTCCCGAATAAAAAAGGTGAAAGTAATAGATTCCCTCTGATTGCAAAGTTGAGAAGATGGACTGAATACAACTGTAACAGAGCACATTCAGCTGCAAAAACAACATGCTATTAACATCCAGACACAGTGAGCATCACAATGTGTGTCCAACTATAAACTATCAACTTCAAAGCCACAACAAATTTACAACCATCGTTGTCGGACCACCATCTTGGCAACCCTTTTGCATAATGTCAAAGAAAATCCAGAAATGTACAGATAGTGCTGTGCTGCAGTTTTAAATCCCAACGGTTTTAACAAAAGATTGCTTTGTCCAACTTTGTGGATCATGATTTAACAGAACCGTATGAAGCACACCTGTTTAAACCAATATTGGTCATGCAGAATAAAACTGGTGTAAGCGTAGACGGTCGCTATTTTCTATAAGCAACAGTTCACACAAAAACATAAGATGTGTAAATTGTTAAAGATTTCAAGAAAATTAATCCAAAAGCCACAAAAAACATCTGAACTTGCAGATAAGACAAAACACTAAAGAAAGTTAACGCTGAATATTGAAGTTGTAGCCTAAAACATAAACACACACACACACACACACACCTATGCCTTGTTTCATACTATAATATAAATTTAAGATTTATCCATGTAATACAAAGTACATGCTGCCTGTACAAGTAAATACACAACAGTTTCTGTAATTCATTAATAACATTGTGCAAATGCTCATATTCACTCAAATATCCTTCTGCGACAGAGACAGGTGTAATTACTCACCACTCATGGTTACAGTCTTTGGGAGCGGTTAGATTAAAGTCAGGTGACGATCAGAACTGGACCAGCACACACTGCAATGACCTTAAGCTGTATTAGAGTGAGACGGTCCGGAGCAGAGCAGCACAATGATTACGGCTCTGCGCTGCGCTCATATACAGACAGACATGAAAAGGCCTCTCCTATGGTCTGACCTTCTCACATTTCCACACATAAGCCTGGAAAACACACGCACACACACACACACACGCACGCACGCGCACGCATGCGCACACACACAAAGGACAGACCATCTTTCCCTTAAAGCATTCAATAAAAGTCTATTTATTTCAGGAACTTTATCACTAAGTGAAACACACATTTATTAAGTTATTTCTCACCATTAGCACATTTAGCAGCATTGATTGGCAGCGCTAAGACCCTCCTCCTGGCTCTGATTGGTTGTTTGTCGTCGGGTGCGGAGGAGGTGAAGGGAATTGGTCTTTTCTACATATTATCTATCTCATAACATTCTGTCACGGCATGGTGATGGTTTTAACAAATGTGAAAATAATATATTCTTTACAAAAGTTACATAGTGCAGCTTTTAGCCAAAGTAGATGTCATCCCAACCTTTTTTTTTTTTACTCAGATCCTGTTTTACTCAGAGTGAAAGAATGAAAGAGTATAAATATAAAATGCAGTCAGTCTGACAGCTGCAGTTTGTGAAGTATAATTACAAAACTTTTGAGTTTATAATTGCGTTGTCATCATTTTTTACTTTTAGAGATCCAGAGGTTACTACATCTGAACAGGAAATTAGAGAATGACAAATAAAATCTATTTCTCTGTCATCACTTATTTAAAAATATTAATCCTGGATGTCGACACAATAATATGTATTTTAAAATAGATAGATAGATAGATAGATAGATAGATAGATAGATAGATAGATAGATAGATAGATAGATAGATAGATAGATAGAAACTTATTTACCCTGTAAGAGTCTCTCCTTCCTTATGTCAGACTTTCATGACTTGTCCATTCTCTTCGTTTTAACTTTTCCTTGCAGGTCTTCAGAACCTTTACAAAGTCAACACACAAAAATGTATTTCAAATGTCATTTTTGACTCTATATTCTGTTGTCAGTTGAGCAAAAAAAGATGAGAAGCTAATTAGAAACAAAGTCTCGCCCACCTGTTCGTCAGAGACGATGCTCTCTCCATCATGTGGATCTCTCCATCTTCGCTACACCGCTTGCTGCCGCTAATGAAGCAGTGATGCCCACTCACACACTCTGCCCTCATCATCCGCACTGTAAACTCTACGACTTACAACGCAAACCGATGTAGCGCGTCGTGCTTTGTGAGGAGGCGCGCCTGGGATGCGTGCGTGGGTGGAGGAGAGGCTGATCATTTATTTGTATCAATAAAACCTGAATCTGAATGAGCATCTTTGTTCCGGGATTGATCTAAATCTGACTAAATGACTCTTGTAGAACTTCAATAGCATAAATAATATTACTGTAATGTATGTGGGTCCTGGTGCTTGTAGACAGCACGCAGGGGTTATTGCTATGACAACAAGCATGTGCTCAGTGCTGAACTCCAGGGAACTGGTTGTATCTGTTACCCTGCTGGCATCCAGCTGCCCAGCTCTCACGCCCACACATCACACTCGTCTTCACAAAACTCCATTAACATGCATGAACATGAAGTGTGAGGAGAAAGGAGCTCCTCAGCAGCCAGTCATGCTACACTGTGTTATTCAGAGGGAAGTACAGTAAGCTAACACGGGAAAAGAGACTCACAACATGGAGAAATGTTTAGCTTTTGCTTTCTGTGGCTTAAAATAAGGTTTTCTTTTGTATTTCAAACATCTCAGCAAACATTTTCACAATTCACAGAGCAGAGGGTTAAAGAATTAAACTAAATGAATAAATAACTCAGTAAACATATCTCCATAAGATTCATTCAGTGGCTCCTCTGAAGCTCTCGAAGGGTCCAGGTTTGTTATT